ACCCACCAAAAAGTCATTTTGGTCCCACGTCCCAAGACAGATCTACCCATCCCAACATGCCCCAAAGAGAGAAAATGGAAAGGATGAAGGGGTCTCTCTGCTAAGGTTTGGATAAGTGTCCTCCAGGGACCTCTGTGTTTAGGGAGATTCTCCAGTGGCTCTATTGGGAGATGGTAGAACTTTTAGAAGGTGGGGCTTGGTAGGAGGTCCTTAGGTCACTGGGGCTGTGCCCCCAAAGGGGATTGTGACACCCCAGCCCCTTCCTCTTTCCTGCTCATGAGGTGAACAGTTTGCTCCACCACATGCTCTCCCCACCTGCCATTACCATTTGATACACCCACCAGAACCCAGAGCAATGGATCCACCCTATCTTGGATGGAAACTCTAAACCTGGGAGCCCAAATAATACTTTTTTTTTCTATATAAGTTAATTTTCTCAGGTGTTTCATTATGGTGATGGAAAGCTAATGGAACACAGGGTTACTTAGTCCAAAGTAAATGTGAAATCCTCTGAAATCTAGCAGGCAGCCCCATTAGGTGCTGTGGCTGAATGCTCGATCTGAGCCTGGGGTGGTGACCTGCTTTCTGGGACCTGACTTCTGTGGCTTGCCTTTGCACCCATGGCTCTCCCTCCAAGTCAGTAGGCCTTCATCCATCTCTGTGCCTGTTAGTCCAGGCTGGCAGTGTTTCTCCCGGTGTGATATTCTCAGAAAGCTTGTTGGTGCCCTGTGTAAACCACAGAGGTCCATGCCATTGACGAGAGGCTCCTGCACAGGTCCTTCCTGGATAATTCCATCTCTGCTCCTGGATTCTGAGATGGTCGATTGGATGCATGAACCACATCCCTAATCTCTTCAACAAAAATATTCAATAACGTTTTTGGGGTTGTCTTCAGACCACACCTTCCTGGCAGTGGAGTTCCTAATTTTAGCAATCTGGACCTGCTGAGGACCTCTCAAATCACCAGGGGCTGGTTCCTTTTTTACTCAACACTTCCTTCCTCAATTTATCGCTTTGCTCTCAATCTTTACTACAGCAGCAAGAAGAAACCAGACTATATCTACCATACTTCGCTTGGAAATCTCCCAGGCTAAATATCCAAGTTCATTGCTCACAAGTTCCATTTTCCACCCAACAGCCAAGTTTTCTGCCACTCCATAACAAAGCTCACTTTTCTGCCAGTGCCCCCAAATGTGTTCCTCCTGAGCCCTCAAGAGAAGCACCTGAATGTTCATATTTCGACTAATATTCTGTTAATGATGATTAATTCATTCTCTAAGACAATGAGAGCTCTTCCTATGGTTCTCCTCATTTCTTTCTAAACCCTCACAAGGAGAACCTTAAATAAATGTTCATATTTCCACCAACAATCCCTTGAAGTCAATCCAATTCAGCTATAGCAAAATAACACAGATGGGGTGATTCATGAACAATAAAAATCATGGTTCTGGAGGCCAGAAAGTCTACTATCAAGGTGTTGCCGTTGACAAAGGCCCTCTTCCCATAATGTAATATGGCAGAGGGCAGAGAGTCAGAGAGAGGCTTAAGTTATCCTTTTATAAGGACCCCACTCCATGAAAACAGCATTAATTTATTAATGAGGGTAGAACCCTTACGGCCTAATCCCCTCTTAAATTCCCATCTCTTCACACTGTTACAAAGGTGATTGAATTTCCAATAAATGCTTTTGTAGGGACATATCCAAACTATAGTACTGGGTTTTTTTCCTATCATTTTCTACTACTATCACCAAATACTTGAAGCAGGCGAACTTGGTGAAGAAAAGAGGTTTATTTAGCTCACTGTTCTGGAGGTTCAAGGGCATGACCCTGGCATCAGCTCAGCTTTGGGTATGCCCCCAATCACCTAGAACTTCCCACTAGGCTTTACCTCTTAAACTTCCCGCCTCCTACCACCACATTGAGAGTCAAACGTCTAACATATGAACCTTTTAGGGAGATAAATAACATCCAAAATGGAACTGGAGACTATCATGCTGAGTGAAATAAGCCAATCCCCCCAAACCAAAGGCCGAAAGTTCTCTCTGATATGCGGATGCTAATTCACAATAAGTTGGGGGTAAGGATAGAAGTACTTTGGATTAGACAAAGGGGAATGAAGGGAAGGGAAAGGGGATGGGAATCCGAAGACAGTAGAATGAATCAGACATCTTCCGATTTTCCTATGCTCACGTGTGAATACACGACCAGTGAAACTCCACATCATGTACAACCACAAGAATGGGAAGTTATACTCCACGTATACATAATATGTCCAAATACAGTCTGCTGTCATATATAACTAAAAAGAACAAATTAAGGGCTGGGGTTGTGGCTCAGTGGTAGAGCGCTTGCCTAGAATGTGTGAGGCACTGGGTTCGATCCTCAGCACATAAAAATGAATAAATAAAATAAAGGTATAAAAAAGTTGTATCTGTTTAGAAAAAAAAATAAATTTAAAAAAATAACATTCAAACCATGGCACCCCTTGAATGAACCTCTCCAGCCTGTGTTACCCAAGACCAAAGCCATTTCCACTTTTTCAAGGATTGCTGTAAAAATTACCACGGACTCGATGGCTTAACATTATAGAAATCCTCTCTGTTCAAGGAGGCTACAAGTCAGCAAGGGAGGCACCTTCAAGGTGGCGCTTCCTCTCAGAGCCTCAGGGGAGGGTCCTTCCTTGCCTCTTCCCAGTTTCTGGCTGCTTGCAGACGTCCGTGGTATTCCTTGGCTCCTGGCTGAATCACATCTCTCTGGCTTCCTCCCTGTATGTGCCTCTGCGTGTCCTGCCCTCTTCTGACCAGCACACCCCACCAATGGATTCAGGCTCTTCCTAATCCAACGTGGCTGTTGTGACTGTCATTCACATGAATTCTGCCTTAGCCTCCTTCTTCTTCACTGTCCCCTCCTCGTCACACATGACCTACATATTTTGAGATGGTCTCCACCCAATTCCTCTTTTAGATAGATAAGGCCCCGTATCCTGAACTGCTCGACCTCGTCGGCTTTAACTCTGGTGAACTTGACAGTGTAACCCAGCACTTCCAGGGTAGTGAAGCCCCTACCCTTCCAATTGACCCCTCCAGCCCTGTCTCAGGAAACCCACCTCCGTAACCGGCCAGGCCCCAGCAGAGGCTTAGGTCCACAGGCCCTGTTCTCCTGCTCCTTGGCCCTGGTTGAGCATGCATGTCCCAAATGCACCCTTTTTTCCCAAGGGGCCTTGTAAGACATGCTGCCCTCTGCTCTCTGGGCTCTGTGAGTACTGGTCAATTTGCCTTTCTGGTCTGTGTGTCCCTGACTATGCTATACTTTTTGTGGTAATGGTTACTGGGGATTGAACTCAGGGGCACTTGACCACCGAACCAATCCTCAGCCCTATTTTGTATTTAGAGGCAGGGTCTTGCTGAGTTGCTTAGCACCTCACTGTTGCTGAGGCTGATTTTGAACTCGCGATCCTCCTGCCTCAGCCTCCTGAGCCACTGGGATTACAGGCATGCGCCACCATGCCTGGCTATGCTATACTTAATCACACCAAACCCAACTGAAATACCTCATTCCACAAACCCCAACGGAGACTTCATCTTGATTAAACTGATTACATCTGCAAAGACCTTATTTTCAAATAAAGTCACATAATGAGGTTCCAGGAAGGTATGGAATTGAGGGACACTAGTCAATTTATTCTACCTTGTATTAGCTTCCATCCCTTCTCTGCCTGGCTCTCCACTCCCATATTGGATCAATTCCCAGTTAAATTCCTCGCATTCTAATGCAGGGAGCTGAGTTTGCTACTAGGAGAGTCCACCTAAGACACGGCCTCCCTGTGCTGAGCAGTGGGGTCCTCCTCTTGAGGCAGGGTGAGAACCCTAGTCCCTTCCTCTGAGGGGCTACAAGAGAAGATAGCTAAATCCTACAGAGACCAAGGTTTAGGGCCTCATGCAGCCCACTGACCACTTCCTGACTCTTGGAAATGGAGTGCTTTGAATGAGCCCCCAAATTATCTTTCTTAGAAATGGATGGGCGATTGGAGCATCAACATGCCCTTTGGGGACAGGAGTTATTTTGGGGGTAGATGATTTATTTCTTTTTGGATACAGAAATGGAAAGCCATGCCCCCTTTCTGGGATGCATGTAGCATTTATAGTGGGCAGAGCTTGAGGTTTTGGGGGATGGGGTGTAAAAGACTTGAGCTTCCTGGAGGGCAGGCCTGTCCCTGGCAGGAAGGAGGAAGGATTTTGCCCTTCTCAGAGATGCTGTGAGCCTGTATTATGGGTGGGAGAAATATGGCCAAGGCAGAACCTTCTGGAGGGAATAGGCTGATCTGTAGTGGCTGCTAGATGGGGGGGGGGGGGGCAGCAGTTAGCGGGAGATCAATCATTATGTGAAATCTACCTGTTCACGTCACTGTTTTAGATGAAATCTCTGCCTCTGTTTGGGCCTCACTGGGAGACACTTCCTTCTGGATCCAAGATTTCCTGAGCTCAGGAATAGCCCACTCCTTCCATGAGGTCATGTGACCTTCTGTTATGGTTTTTATCTGGAATGTCCCCTGTCCTGAAGGCTGGGTCCCCAGAGCAGCAGTGTTCAGCGGTGGAGCTTTGGGGCGGTGGTTGGATCATGAGGCTCTGACCTCATCAGTGGACTCGCAGTTGGGGTGGACTAATGGGAGGTGGCGGAAACTGAAAGAGATGGGACCTAGTTGAAGGAGTAGGTCCTGGGGGTGTGCTCTTTGGAAACTATACCTTGTTCCTGCCCTTTCCTCCCTTGCCTCCTCTCTACTCCTCCTTCTCCTCCCCCTCCCCCCCCCCTTTTCCCCCCCCCCCCCCCCCCCATCTCTTACTGGCTGCCTTGAGGTGACAGCTCTGCTCCACCACACCCTTCCTATCTTGACGCTCTTCCTCACCTCAAACCCAGAGCCATGGAGCTTGCCAACCTTGGACTGGAACCTCTGAAACCATGGGCCCAAATAAATCTTTCCTCCTTTACAGTGTTTTTCTCAGTTGCTTTATCACAGTGACCAAAAAAAACGGACTCACATACCTCCAACTTGTTTCACACGACCATCCTGACCCAACCCCTGTGGCTGAGGGAACTGGGATGCTCATTGGTCTGCCCATGTCACAGGATATAAAAGGTGGAGTCCACTTCCTGGTATATCCTTGACTTTCCAGAAATTCTGAGCTCAAACAACCCATTCCCAGGTTCCAGTTCTCCTCTGAGGTGAGTGTCACTGCTGTCCCTGACCCCAGGCGTAGTAGCCTCGTATGGTTCTGGTTGGTCAGAGAGGTCTGAGTCCATCCTGGGGCCAGCACAGGGCTTCCATTGGTGAAGAGGAGATAAGGCACCCAGGAGCAAGGCAGCAGAGAGAGGGGTGAGAGGGGTGCCTTGGAGACCCTAGGGCAGCATGGGGTGTGGGCTTCCTGGCCCAGCAGGGAGGGGCCTGAGAGCCCTCAGGGTTCAAGGGAAACCTGACAGGCTTGAGGCCACTGAGGCTCCCGTGGAACCCCGTGCTCTCGCTGCTGTGGCTAAGATGCAGCCTTCCTGAGGACTGAGCCTCAGCCGGAGCTCCCGGCTGGCAGCAGGCACAGAGCCCAGAAACTCACAGGGGCAGCAGGCAGGGTGGAGCAGGCCCTGGGGCCAGCGAGGCTGGAGGCCTGGGATGGAATGCTCAGAATGTAGGTGGGAGCCAGCTGCCTCCCCAGGCCTGCCCTGACCCAGCGGCCTCCATCCTTGGTCCCCCAGACTCCAAGCCCAGCCTCATCCAGCATCCCTGGAGTTGGGGAGGAGCCTGGTCTCTGAGGAGGAGCCTGTGGCCTCTGCTGGGTCTCATCTCCTCTTAGTTTTCTCCTTCATGAATGGATGTAGGATCCGTGACCATGTGAGAGGTGTGATGGGCAGGGGCAACCGGCGGCTGCAGGGGCCACTTGGCACCCTTAGGGACCATGGCTGCCTCAACCCAGGGAGAGGGGGAGATGCCAAGAAGGGTGGGTGGGCCTGAACCCCACAACCCTGTGCCAGATTCCACCTGCATAGACAGCTTGCCCTGCCCACTGGGGGCAGGTATCAGAAAGGATCAGGCCACGGGGTCATGATGCAGCCATCATAGTTGACAGCTGGGCTCATGGCTCTCCCTGTAGGACCTAGAGGGGACTCATCTGCAGAGACAGAGGTGAGCCCATCCTCCTCCCCAGATGCCCAGAGCCAGGTCAGGACAGGCTGCTCAGAGGGGCTTGGGTTCCAGGAGGTAGGAGAGGTCCCTACTTAAGGCAGAGACCCTGAGGATTCCACAGGTGGCTGGTGGGGGGCGGTGTCCAGGGTTATATGAAGATCTGGGGCTTCAAATTGACCTGCTGCCTCCATGGGAGAGTGGGAGACAAGCCCAGGTGGTGTCTAATCCACCTGGGTCCAAATCCCCCTCTGCCTTGTCCTGGGAGAGTGGTGGCCTGTCTGGGTCTCAGTGTGCCTGTCTCTAGGGTGGAATCAGGCATCTGAGAGGGAGGTGTCGCTGGTGTTGATGGGACCCAGAAGTGAAGCAGGAGAGTGCTGGACCTCATGCACCCTCCATTTCCCCATCAGTAGATGAGGATTCCAGACCCAAAGTGTCCAGAGGCCGTGCGACCCAGTGGGAGGACCACGGGCCTTCCCAAGGCTGTCTGCTCCTACTCTGTGCCAGGCTCTGCTGGAGGGGCCGCATCCTGCCCTCTCAGAGGTTCTGCTCTCCCTGGAGAAGCAGGCTAAACAAGAGAATAAGGAGCCAAACAAGAAGTGGAGCCAGGCACAGTGGCCCAGGCCTGTAACCTCAGCTACTCAGGAGGCTGAGGCAGGAAGATTACCTCTGGGGAGGCCCTCCAGGAAGGAGGACCTGCAGGCAGAGCCCGGGCCCAGAGCAGAGCAGGTACAAGGTGGAAGGAAGCTGTGGGCTCTGAAGGTGGGGCAGCCGGAGGAAACCAGGCTATAAGTGTGGCAGGGCCAGGGGTACAGGTGGCATTCAATTCCCCTTGTTCCAAGAACCCAAGTGACATCCAAAGTACACTTGCTTCTCTCATAGGGCTGGCACTCAGAAGGTGTGGTAGCAGTGCCTGGCACATAAGCAACATGATATGGACAGTGAGTGAGTGAGTGAATCCTGGCCAGCCCTTAACTCACTGTGTGACCCCAGGTGAGTGTACTCCTCTCCCTGGTCCTGTTTCACCACTGCCAAGACACCCTCTGAATCATGATTCTCTTCTCAGGCAGTACGTATTGGGCACCTAGCTGCATCAGGCCTTACTGTGGGCTGCATCTTCTTCCCCGGGACGCTGCAGATGCAGCCAGCACCTGACTCTGGGCTTGGTGTGCCAGATGAGGCCGTCAGCCGCCTCTGCTACCTACAGCAGAAGCTGAGCTCCAACATCTCTGCTGTGGGCCTGTCCACTCCTCTCTTCTGTTTTTCTCTTTTTTTTCTCCTGTGTTTGGACCTGGGGAAACCTTTCTGCTCAGGAGTCCTGTCCTCTAAGCTCTGTCCCTGGACTGGCACCAGGAGCTGCCAACCTGAAGGCCGTGCAGGCAGTGGGCTGGGATGGGCACAGGACACCATGGATCCTGTTTCTGAGACCCCGGGAGCCACCTCTCCCAGCTCAACTTGGGGCCCTTCTTCCCAGGCCAGGGGTGGCCTCTTGTGCCTGTGAGGGAGGGGTTGGCCTTGGGGAGGAGGAGGAGGAGGAAGGACAGGGAAGAGGCGGAGAACCAGCACCTGCCCATGGTTGGCTAATCGTCACTGTTCCACAGGTGAGCAGTGGTGTGTGCCTGGGCCTGGGCTATGGGGGCAGAGCAGGTGACTGAGGCCCAGGTCGCCCAGACTTGTGGGTACGGAGGCTTGAGGCAGATGCTCCTAGCAGCCCTCTTGCCAGGGTGTCCAGCTGAGGGGATTCTGGGGACAGACCCACAGTGGAGTGGCTCGTGGCTCTGCAGGCAGAGGCCCCTCACTGCCCCTGTTGGAGCCTTGGTCTCCTAATCTGGCAAAAATAGGAAGAGCAGCCTGCGGCCTCCAGACCAGGCCCCACTGGCACCCGGCAGGTCTGCGCGGTGAGTGACAGAGCCTGAGAGCAGGCCCTGCCTCAGGCCCACAGTGACATGGAGCTGAGTGCCCTTCGGCACCTTGCCCCTGATTCCTGGCAGTTTTACCTTCTGTGGACTGAGCTGTACCCTCTGCCACCCAGGGGTGGCTGGGAACATGGTGATTTCAGACTGCAGCAACGGCTAACGTTTATCAGGATATTTCACAAGAAAGAATACCCGGGTTTCCTTCTTTTTTGTTTGTTTGTTTCTCTTTTCTTTTTTTCCCCGGATTTCTTTCACCTCTAGAAAACACTGGAAGCTCCCTCTGTCTCTCAGGCCCACACTGGGGGAGGCTCCCCACATTGTCCAGCACTGGCCTCGGTTCACCCGCACAGCCACTGTGAGGTCCTGGAGCCCTGTCTCCCTTCCCATCCCCACTGGGCTGCTGCAGCTGGAGACAGAGGTTGGGGTTACGGGCCCCACCCTGGGAACCCCACAGCAGTCTCTGGACCCCCACAGACGGCATTCCCTATTGGAGTCACTGTGCCCAGGGGGCCAATTCCAGCTGATGGCTCCGTGAGTCTCACAGGCTTCATCTGTCCGTGACTGTTTCCCCCCCTCAAGTGGGAACATCCTGGGGTGGTGATGAGATGGCAGGAATGAACGCAGCTATGGGAGCAGGTGGAGCCGTGTTAGGCCCAAGCGAGGGTGTGAGCCTCGAAGAGGCTGAGAGTAGGAAAGTGACATCAGGGCTGCTCCAGCCACCACTTGGGGCCCTCATGCCTCCTGCACCTGAAGCCCTGCCCAGGCCCAAGCTGGGTGGGGCACTTGATGCATTTGCTTGAGAGACAGTCAGAAGGACCAGGCCCCAGCTCCTAGGTGGGTGCATGGAGCTGCTTTGCTTCCTCGAGCCTCAGCTTCCTCAGGGTGAAGCAAGACCAGAACATCCCATCAGCACAGCGAGCACCAGGCACATGGCCAGGTGTAGCAGGGACTCCACGCACAGCGTCCTGGGGCCTCCCCACACAGCCCGGGAGTCTCCTGCAGGAGCCGGTTCCCCCACTCTGTTCCCCCACCTTGCCTCTGCCCCACCCCAGCTCACTATGCCCCGGCCCCACCTTACCTGTGTCCCCATCTACCTGTGACAATCACCCATTTCTGGCTCACACCCACCCTCTCAGCCTCCCAGGTGGGCACCCCACGTCTGCCCAGGTGTCCCCTCATAGTGCTGTGTGGCTGTTAGACCCCCGTCATCAGTCTCTAACTCCCCCCCCACTGGTCCCCAGGGCTCTGATGCACAGTACCCCCACCCTCATGACCTTTGTCATGTCCCCCACGTCTTGTACGCAAGACCCCAACACCCTTGGTTGGACCAGAGATGTAGAATTGCTGGGCCAGGGAGTAGCCCATGCAATTCTGTCACCCTTGCGTCATCACCTTCCTGGGGGGGGCCCTGAGGCTGTGCCCACGTGCTGAGAGCCAGTGTTTATTTACACAGACAAGCACGGCATCCACCCGCGAAGGGGACAGCCACAGTCTCCCACGCCCACCACACAGGGCCAGGGCCAGCCTCCCAGCAGTGTTTCTGAGTGTGATTGTTCAGGAACTGTGAGTCCTGTGGGACAGGGCAGGTCCACCCTGGGGCTCTACCTTCCTTCTCTGCCCTCTCCGAGGCTCTGCCTCACAGCTCGCCGCCCTGTCTGAGCCCCAAGAAGCAAGTCCCAGTCCAGTTCCACAGGGGCCAGGGCAGACCCCAGGCAGCACTGCCCACTCCAGGAGCAACGGCAGACCCGGTGGGAAGTGGTCCTCGCTGGGCAGCACCCACACAGCCTCCTCTGTCTCACGAGCCAAAGCGACCACAGGACCGACTCAGAGGACGTTGCCTTTGGCAGTAGCCCACGTTCCCTGCTCCCGTCACACTGCTGGGCTGGAGCCAGGCTTGGGCTCTTTCCTGGGACGTGCTGGGTGACTCTGGGCAAGTGGGTGGTCTTCTCGGGGCCTCAGTTTCTCCTCATCAAAGCAGAGAGACCCTCCGGGGTCTGAGCCGTCCGACTTCCCACAGCCCCACCCCCGCAGTGCTTCACTTCTTCATGTGGTCAGACGTTGCCTCCCAGGAGAACAGAGGCTCCACGTGTCATTGTCACAGAGAGCAAAGCTTTGCTCAGGAAGAAGCTGTGCCAGTCGGGGCCTGGGGCTGCGGGGCACCAGGGCTCTCCTGGGTGGTGTCCCCGTGGGCAGCAGCACGCAGGGCTCCCAGCCAGCTCTGCTGCAGCTCTCTGGAGGGGGCCCTGAAGTACCAGCGCTGCTGACCCTGCTGCAGCTTCCACAGGTGTCCCGCTGTCAGCCCCTCCTCGGGGTCTGGAGTGCCCACCGTGCAGCCAGACAGAGGGATGGCGTGCGGCAGCCGGCCATCCTGCAGCAAGAGAGAGGGTCACCACCTGAGCAGGCCCCTAGACTGCCATGCCCAGTGCCAGGCCAACTCTGAGCCGGATGGACCTGTGGACATGCCCGCATTTTCCTCGACAGCAGGACAGGCGGCCCCTGGGAGGACGCTGGCAGGGGGCCTTGTACACCTCACCAGAACCCCAGGCCCCATGGCTTCCCTCTGATTCCCAAGTCCCAGGGAGCCCCTGTGACATGGGCAGTCAGTAACTGGGACTGAGAGGGACTGAGCAAGAGTTCCTGATGAACGAGGGGGCATGTGGGCTTTGGAGCTGCACCTGCCACGTTCTGTACTCCCAGCTGCGTCCAGCCAGGGCGAATGAACAGGTGAACAAACAAGTGTGTGTGGGAGGGAGGGGCCAGCCCTCTGTGCACCCTGCCTGCCCCCCATCCCCTGGTTGGCTCTGCAGTCCTGGCATCACGGGGTTCTGTCTCCTCAGGGTGGGGAGGAGGGTTATTCTGGGCAGCTGGGAAAACTGAGGCCTAAGACCACAGAGTAGGTCAGCCCCAGGAGGGTGACCCAGACTTGCTGTGAGTGCTACAGGCCTGAGACTCTGGGCTGTGAGGAGAGGCAATGACCTGGGGCAGGGAACACATACCTCGCTGCTGCCACGCAGGTCCAGCACCCGGGGGTCCGATGCGGGGATGGTGGCCCATACCTCAATCCAGGATGTGCCATTGTCTGACAGCCACAGGGGGCCGCAGATGAGGCTGGGCTGGGGATCCACAGCGGGTGGTTTCTAGGAACAGAGACAGGTGAGGTCACTGAACTGTAGAGGTCTCTCCCTTGAGGGGCCAGAGATGCTCAGAAGGAGCTGGCCACAGAGATGCGGCTGAGACCTGGAGGGAGGCTGGGTCCGGCCTCACTTGGTTCCAGGGGTCACTCCAGGCAGTCCGAGGGGCTCAGGTGCCATAAAGTCATGAGGAGTTTGTAGAACATGGGGAGTGAGGCCACTGGGTCAAAACCTCAGGAGAAAAGCCTAACAGTAAGTACCAAGTGTGGGTCACCATGCAAAGGACCCTGCCTGTTTCAGTTCTTCATACACCACATGCCACATATAAGCACACCCACCACACAAGCGTACACACACAATTCCCATGCCACACACACATACAACTCCCTCACCTGCCTCACACACAGGTCCTTGTGATGTGCTCTAGAGCTGCTATGGAGAGGAGTCCCTGAGACATCTACACGTGGTTCCAACACCATTTGCTAGATCTGGTCTCCTAAGACCTGGTGGCCCTTTGAGGCCTGAGCCCACCCTCCACAGGTCTCCTAGAATACGTGTCAGTATTGACAATGCAGAACAAGGTGGGCCCAGGTGGGCAGGGCACGGAGCATCCTACTGGGCCTCCATTCTGCCCTGGTCCTAATATCCTTACATCTGTGACCTCTTAGAGCAAAAACCCAGAGAAGGGACCCCTGACAGCTACGAGCCAGGATGGTCAGGAGCTTCGACAACACATTGACCCCAGCCTATCTGGCCACCCAACTGCAGCCTTAGGAGGAAAACCAATGTTATAAACAGTTCCCAGGAGACCCAACTTCTTGAAGCTGGCGCTGAGAACATCATAGTGTGTCAAGTGGAGAGAAAGGGCAATACATTTTTCTGGAAAAGCATGTTTTCCCTTTCTCAAATTTCCTAGGATCAGAAAGTAGGGACTGTGTTAGAAAAGTGGCCATATTCAGGGGAAGTAGGGTGGGGAGCTGGGACTTCCCACGGGCCTCCAGGACCTGCCTGTCCTAAGGACTAGCAGGGAGGCAGGCCATCGGGTAGACCTCAGTGCTGGACTTGGGGGCAGCTCCATACTAATCAGGGCCACAGGGAGTGGAGCTGACACGGGTTCCCATCTAACCCCTGGGTAAGAATGATTCTCAAGCCTCCGCCCTGAGCCGTCCTGAGAAGCCCAATGTGCACTTACTTGGTATGATATTTTGCTTTCAATTGGCAATCACTCCAACTAGCTCTCCCCGGTTCCAGGACCTGTGAAGTCCACTGAGACCCCTTCCCCATCATTTCCAATCTGAGGAACCAGGGCCACCCACCTCTGTGCTCTGCTTGGAATCTGAAGGAGCCTCAGCACTGGGACTTGCAGGGGCTACCCGCTCTGCCAGGAAACACCCTCTGCAGACCCGGCTCTGTCTGCTGTTCTCAGCCTTGAATTCAGAGCACTTCCCACAGATGACCTGCAAGACACAGAGCACCTGTGACCCCGCAACCCAGGCAGAGGAGAAGGAGAGACTCAACAACGTGGGAGGAGTAACGGCTTGGCCTAGAATGAGGAGGGGGCCAGGAACCCCCTCTAAGGGCAGAGCAAGGCTGGTGCCCCCATGTCCTGTCCTCCTTACCTGGATGACCCAGAGTTCAAGGATCTATATGCAAAAAGAATGGGCTGAGCCACCAAGCACATGAGAAGACCCCAAATCACTGGTCATCAGGAAAACACAAATCAAAACATAAGGAGAAACTACCTCACACCCTTCAGGATGGCTATTATTAAAAAAAAAAAAAAATAGCCAGGCATTGTGATGAACACCTGTTATTCCAGCGACTCCAGAGGCTGAGGCAGAAGGTTCGAAGTTTGAGGCCAGCCTTGGCAAGACTATGTCTCAAAATAAAAAGGTCAGGGGATGTAACAGGGATAGAGCACTCCTGGGTTCAGATCCCGATGCCCCCCCCCCCACACACACACACATAACAAGTGTCGGTGAGATGGAGAAATTGGAAACTTTTTACTATCAGGGGGATGTAGAATGGCACAGCTGCTATGGTACAGTGTGGTTCCTGCTCAAAAAATTAAACATAGAATTACCACAGGAACCAGCAAAACCCCTCTGGACATACACCAAAAGAACCAAAAACAGGAACTGGAAGAAACAGGTGCAGAGCTCCTAGCAGCACTGTCCACAATCCCTCAAAGATGAAGGTGACCCAAGTGTCCATGATGCATGAACAAGGAAATCCATGCATAAAATGGAATACGGAAGAACATGGAAATAAGCCAACCGGTGCCCCTTTGGGACTCTTCCAGAGCTCTCACTACCCTGGACCCCATCCCCACTGGCAGACTCCTCCATTTCTCTGGGCCTTGTCCCATTGTCTCTTCTGCCTCAGTCTTCCTCCCTGTACTGGGTCATCTCCCCAGAACACAAGCCTCTCCTCCTGACCCAGCTCTCTGCACTCCCCCACTTCAGCACCCCCTTCTCTTTTCAACCCTGGGCATTTCCATGCCCTGACTTGACATTGCCTGGGTCACACCAAACTTGGCCTCCCTGTGGTCAAGGATGATGCTGGTCTCAGCCCTGTGAGCCCTTGCAGCATGGAACCACCCCTCCTGAGATGCTCACTCCTCTCTGGGCCATCTCCCCTGCTTTCCTGACCCCCATCTAGACTGGGGCTCCCACGGCTCCCTCCCTGGGCACAGCCAGCTGAGCCCTCCCACCCTGTCCTGCGCACTGTCAGATGCCAGGCCCCTCCCCACTCCACCTCAGTCAGCTGACCTGGGCTCCTCCCTCCCTTCCACGGCAGCCCAGGCTCTGGATAAGCACCTCTCACATCCTCTTCCATTCCTTCCTCACGAGAGACTCCAGCTGTCTCCCATCTGCTTTCCACCAAGACGCCAGCACAGGAACCCACAGTAAAACCTTCCAGAAGCTCCATCTTCCACCTGACCTTGCTGGCTTCCCTGACCCAGGCATAGCTTGGGCCTGAGCCACAGCCTATGGGCCATCCTGTACTCCCCACACCCTTCTCCCCAACTACTCAGCCATTCACCCTTCCATCCATCCCACCACCCATCTATCCATCATCCATCCATCCATGTAGCCACCCACCCACCCACCCATCCAAGGACTCATCCATTTATTCCTTCCTCTTCTAGACCCTGGCCAGCATGGCAAGGTTTTACATAAAGACGTGACAAGGAACACCTGCAAGGAACAGACTGTTGCCACCCTTTGAAAAAACATCTCCAAGTTATCTGTGGTGAGATCCACTTGCTAACAGATGTAATTTTAATACCTTAACCTAAAAATACTTGAATCATTGGTTTCTTCCTCCCTCCCCTACCCCTGGTACTGAGGATGGAACCCAGGGGTCCTCTATCATTGAGCTACAACCTCAGCCCCTGTTACTTTTTTACTTTGAGACAGGGTCTCAATAAGTTACCCAGGCTGGCCTTGAACTTGTAAACCTCCTGCCTCAGCCTCTGGAGTCACTGGGATTACAGGTGCGCTCCAGGGCACCTGCTCCTCAGGGACACTTACATGCTCTGATAGTCCACTCTCAGGAGCAAGGGATCTGGAGGTGAGTGAAGAGGGATGGAGATGGTGTGGGTGTTTGTGGGGGTCTGTCAGAGACGTCCCTCTTCACAGGGGCCCTGGGCACTGGGGCGAAGGTCAGCAGGAGAGCGCTCCACCGTGGCCACACCCCTCCCCTCCAGTCCCTCCTCTGCTCCTCGTGCAAGGACACTACTATCCCTTTGTGCTCAAGGTCGCCCAGCTAGGGGCGCTGTGGTTCCAACTCCAACGTCTTTTCAGTTGCAAAGAATGTTTGTCAGTCACTGGAGCTGACGGGATAAATGTGATTAAGCTTCTACTGCAGAGGGACAATCTCATGCTCAAGGACATCTGCGTCCAAGAGGCGGGATCTGGAGGTGTCCTTATGGGGCTGCCACGTGGTTCTGAGAACTCACCAGCTGCACCAATGCGCCGCATCTGCCGCTGGCTGGCAGGGCTCAGCTCCTGCCCTTGAGGACTTGTGAGCACCTGGCAAGGGACCCCTGCTCGGTGTCGGAGCCCCTCCCTCCCTCTCGCCCCCACTCACTGCCCCGCACAGCTTGCAGTGATGCCTCCTCTTGGTGATGGAGTTGAAGGTCTCACCGCAGCTCTTACAGCTCTGCTTCTCCTTGTCGCGCTTGGCCTTCGAGGAGAGTTTTCTGGACTCGAGCTACAAAGACGCACACGGTGCCATCAGCTTCCATGAATGTATTGCAGCACGCTGCCCCACTGAGGAGTGGAATGAGCTAAAGAGTCAAGGAGGCCAGATCCCCCTTCCTGCGCTGACCCCCAGGGTCCACCCCAGTGCATCACATCCCATCAAGCAATAGTCCAAGTGGATCAAGAACTTTATGTTTGGAACAACTCGGCCAGTGACTATCTGGTGTGTCTGAGAAAAAATATCAGCGGAGCCCAGGCTGGAGGGAAATGGTGCATACTAGGATGGCAGTCTGCACAGATGGCATGTGGCACCAGGGACCGGGGTGTCCCCATCTCCGACCCTGCAGCTATTGGAGATTCTGAGCCCATCTTTCATCCAGCTCTGAATTGGGCACTCAGGCAGGTCCTCCCTCTGCCACGTGCCTAAAACATCCATATGTGCTTGTGTATCAGTGTGGGAGCGTGTGGGAGCACACAAGAGGAAACCGGGCAAGCCCAGGCCCTGCTCAGGGGCTGGATTCCCTGTTCTGTCTCCTGCAATGCTACCTGAACTTCCCAGAGAGGTTGGTGGCATGGAGGACAGGAGCAGCCTTACCGAGGCTGCAGCTGAGCCTCAGTCTCCCTGTCTGACTATGACCAGTGACAGTCCCCAGGCTCCTGCCCTGGCCCTCATCAGCCAAGAGGCCCTGGATGAGTCACTTCTCCTCTCTGAGCTTCAATTTCCTCATTTGTAAGGTGGAGCGAGTAACTGAGGCCCAGGGCAAGGAACGGACAGTGAGAAGGAAAAGGACAGCATAGAGGAAGGGGGCCATCTCCGGGGTCTGCCATGGCTCTGCAGCCTCTGTCCCCGGCCCACCTTCAGGGTGCCCACATTCCTCTTTCTCAGGTGAGAAATCAAAGGGCCAGGTGGAAGGAGTGGTTGGCAGTCAGGTGGCCAGACAGCTCGGACCTGTGACTCTCAGGGACCTAGGGTAGCGGACCCTTCCATGGCACCCGGTAGGCAGCTGAGAACCCAGGAAGCTGTGGGGCCATCAGGGAATCGGGGGATGGAGGGAAAGCTGTGACGTGCTGGGGCGTGTGGCCAACAGCTCAGCCCCCAGGATCAGTGGAGGCCCAGCCCCAGCCAAAGTTCAGAAGAAAATTCCTGGGGCAAGGAGGCCTACTCAGGGCTGGGGACAGTGCCCTGGGTTCTGACAGCCTCCTTCATCAGGCAAGTCTGCCATGGTCAGCCCGCAGAGCTAAGCCAAGCCCTAGGACGGGGGCCCTAGCACTTCCTGGCTCCTACATAATAAGGCCCATGGCCCATCCCTGATGAGGCTCTGCCCCTGACCACACTAGTTTCTCGACACAGAGATCTGGTTTGATTTGTAGATTGCAGTGACCAGAGGGGGAGGAAGCCACCTGTGTGGCCAGGGATGGGTCTACTGGCCAGCCACACTCCCCTCTTGGATGAGGTTACCAGGCAGTTTGACCCAAGGAAAAGGCTCAGATTCTCTGCACAGGTGTCAGGATGTCTGAAGGCTGGACCCAAGTCTTTCCAGGACGTTGGCCCCGATAACTGGTTAAGTAATTCCGCCCAAACCACCCAAAATATGCCAATGTCGACCCAGAAGTTGGTTTCCACCAAGGGCCAACAGGGCTGTTCCCTAAGCAGTTCTTCTTCATTGGAGTTAGCTGCACATCAGGGAACTGGGGGGAGAGCTCCATAAGACAGACTCAGACCCCAATCAGTGGCCCTGATGGAGTCACATCGGTTACATCAGACAGCGGAATGACACAGCATGGGAAATCCAGGTGGACACAAGCCAAGGGCACGGCACAGGGTCTTTCCTACAGGAGGCGGTCAGCAGAAGCCAGGCCGGGCCCCTCTACTCTTCTTGGGATGGCTCTTTCCTGGAGCACAGGGTGGGCCTCCTCCAGGAAAAGCAAGTCCCGCATTGTGAGGGAGTCCTTGGCACAAGGGTGGCCAGGGTGGGGTCCTTGCTGGTGCCTTGGGTCTTTGTGTCACCACCCACAGTAGGTCTGGCACCCTGGGACCTTTTGCACTCTGACTTTTCTGTGGACACAAGGGGACTTTTGCAGAATGAGGAAGGCTTTGAGTTCTGCGGGGCCCCTTACAAAACTTCCTGGTTGGGGTTTGGCTTCTCTTTGGAAAGAGGGTCTTAGAGGGACAGTACCTCTAAAGACATCTCAGCCCAGGAAATGAAACCACTGTACCATAGGTAGATTCATTTTCCTTTCTACCTATGCTAAGAAAAAGCTTTTAAATTTGGAATTCTGGAGCAAAGATCACTCTTCAGTGTCAGAATTAAATTTTTCTTTTGAGAACCTTGTAAATGCCCACTGTGCGTATATATGTCCCACCCTGTTTGCTCAGTGCAGGTCGACAGATGCACCCTGAGCCATCCCAGGTCTCACCCAAAGCTCAGCTCAGCTCAGCTCTGCTGGGGATGCGGTGGGGGTGGAGACACCCATGGGAAACACACAGTGATACCTACTGGGGGCAGGGGACGCCTCAGCTGTAGGCCTATTGTTGGAGGTGGGGCAGGCCCCAGGTTTGTGCAGGTGAAGGGACAAAGATAAGGAGACCAGAACTGCAGTTGTGACCCCAAGAACCTGGCTGTCATGGGGTGAATGCTACAGAACCTGCAGAAGGCTGAGCCTTCTCTGGGCAGGAGAAGGCAAGTGGGGTAGACCAAGCAGTCATTTGGCCACGAGTACCATAGTGACCACAGTCTTACCCAGGGAGATGCCAGGCATGGATTGAGGTAAGGAGGTGGGCAGGCATTGAAGCGCCTATTGTATCAGGCACCCAACAGCTTCCCTCTCTCCTTCCAGGGGAAACTGAGGCTGGAGGAGGTAACACTTGCCTGAGCCTCACTCCTTGGCCAATTCTGAGTCTGTGTCTTTCTACAGGGTAAACCATTTTAAAACATGACCTTTTTGGTTCCTTCCAGCTAGAACACTTCTGATCTGGGCACTGACCCCCAATTAGCCCTTGCCATGGACTGTTCCACCTGCCCCATGCCCCTTGGGCCAGCCCTAAGCGTGGCTATTCCTACAAACAACCCAGTCCTCCTCACCCAGGGCTTCTTTGATCACAACCCCACCCACTTCTGCTTTTTCTCCATCTCTAGGGCATTGAGGGTCCCATCTCCATGGCGTGGGGGCTCAGCCCCAGGGAAAGCAGCACAAATAAGAAACTGGTGGCTTCCCAGGGTGCCCACAATCCTAGCTACTCCAGAGGCCAAGGCAGGAAGATTGCAGGTTCGAGACTAGCCTTGGCAGCTCAGCAAGAACCTGTCTGAAAAAAAAAAGTGGGGGCTATGGATGTTGTTCAGTTGTAAAGTGTCCCTGGATTCAACCCCTAGCACTAAACAAGTGGCTTTCATATGCCTTAGTGACCAGTGATGCCTCCTGAGGCCCATCCCAGGCTGAAGACTGGATCCAGTCCAGGGCATCATCATGAAGATGTGGGCTGCTTGGGAGTGTTCGCACACAGTTGTACGAGCTGTGGAGTCCCCTGCTGACTGTGAGCATGCACCCTTCTGGCAGCACAGTCTGTGGGTGCAGCCACACACTCACAAGTACCCACTGTAAATCCCTATAAATAAATCCAGGAAAGGGACCAGGAACCACATGGGTCTGGGTACCACCAGCCTCACTCACACCGTTGAGCAATATGAAAAGTTGCCCATGAGCTGATTCACACAATAAGTGTGGGCAGAGCAGACAAAGGGGCAAAGGCTCGGGGCCTGGCAGAGCAAGGGAGTCCAGGGCATCTCAGGGAGCAGGGCAGGAAACAGGTACAACCAGACAAGAGCTGAGCCAGGCAGCCAGCTGGGAGCTTAGACATTCGTTTCCCTGCTGATTTCCTGTACCACCCTCTGACTTTCTGACTTTCAGTTTCAACAGAATTGACCCCCAGGATGCCTGCTGTGTGGGCAGGCAGCAGTGCCACTGAGGAAGGGGTCTCTCCTCTTGCCTGCTTGTCTTGAGCGTCCCCCTTCGCCTCCTCGTCCCACCCCTAAAAGGCCCCAGCCTTCCCTGAAGCCTCAGGAACTTCCACAGGGTTGTCTGACGCCCATCCAGACACCCATGAGACCTGGTAAAGCTCAGGTCCCAGGGAAGGGGATGACACCAGCCAGGCCACCCAGGCAGGCCTACCTGGCCAGGGCTTCACACTGCTCCGTGAAGTGGGAAGTGATGTTACCCTACCAAAGAGGTATGTGCCTCTCCTCCCAGCCTTTCCCTGCTCTTCACCACCAGGTGGCCCTGTCCCCACGGGGATTCCTTGACATCTGCTTCAGGGCCAACACATTTCACTGCCCTGAACCTGTTTCCTCCCCCACAGTGGGACTGGCCATGACACAACTCCAGAGTAGCAACAGGACTTCGATACCAGAGACCTCAAGGGCTGGCCATGAATGGGCAGGCTGAGTCCTCAGCTGGCCTAGGCCTCATCCAGGTAGGCCCACACCTGTCCCTGAGCAGTGAGACGTCTGGGGTGTGTGAAAGAGAGACAGAGACAGACATGAGAGACAGGAGGATAGACAGGGAGACAGAGAGGAAGTACGAGGAGTGAGGCAGGTGTGCAGAGAATGTAGGGCTGTACTCTGTGGTGGTGTCTGGAAGACTCCCAGGGAGGGGAGGAGCCCATGTCTAGGCTGGGGCTGGGGATAGCCAACCTGAGCCCGGAGTACAGCAGGACCCAGCAAGGTGCCTAGGAATGGCCTTACCAGCACTCTGGTCGCAGCAGCCACCCAGGGTGCTCCTGGGCTACCTGTGGCATCAGTGTTAGTGAGTGTCGGGCCCCAGTTAATGACATGGCTCCAGGTGCTGGTGCTCACTGGAGCAGGAAGTCACTGGGGGACTTCATTGCGCTTCTTTAATCTCCCACATTAAATGGAGGGAGAGGGGCCTCTCCAAGGTCTCAGAGGAGTCCCTGGCTGGCAGCATATGGCCTGGCCCTGAGTGTCACCCTTGGGGGCTGCTCTGACTTAAGGGAGACGAGAACACAGGAGGAGAGAGGTGAGAGCACCAGCTTAGGGTGAGGGTCTGAGGCCAGGATGCTTTACTGGGGTCCTCCTAAGGATCTGGTACCTTGCTGCTACATTACCAGGGGGAACCTAAAGAAACCTGCTAGCTTCGCTTGCTCTTAGTTGACTTAAAATCACTAATTCTGGAGGTCACACAGCTGGGCGATCATTATCAGTCTCCCAGTAGGTTTTTTTGTAGGTAACAGCTCTGACATGTGGACTATTGTGATTATGGCCGCCCAGGTTATTTTCTAGGGACTGAAAAGCAGCCTATGCTGAAAACTCTGACTCTTCACCCAGGCCTGGCACGTGTTCTGTGGGAGACTGGACAAGATGAGAACACTTGGCATGGGCCTTCATGTTATGCCTCTCCCCTTTGTTCCCTTTTAACCTTTGGGTCAGATTTTTATACTCAGCTCTTGATGTGGACATGGTCATTTGAAAAGTGTTTTGTCCCAAACTATAATGTAGGGTAGACTTGCCTGGTCTGTCTGTCTGTCTGTCTGTCCGTCTCTCCCCCCCTCCCTCCTTCAAGGCTAACGGCACTTGCCAGCCACCATGACTGGAAACACCAAACCATGAAAGGTGTAAAAAGAGGTGGCACCAGAGTTCCTCCAGGATATTTAGACGAAAACAGTCCTTCCCTTAATAGCCTTGTCCTCTGCCCTGTTACTCCTCCTAGTCTGTATCTCCAACTCCTCAAGTTCCTGAAATGGAAAAGCTATTTTGTGAGCAAAGTTCCCACTTCTCCATTCTTTGGCGGCTGAATAAAGCCTTTCTTTCTCCCCAACACTCGTCTCTTTGACATTGGTTTTTCCGTGGATGATCTTCTGGACCTGGGTTCAGTATGATTACATGTTTTGTTAAGGCCTAAATTTTACACGGAACAAGCACAAATGTTCATGTAGAGCTCAGAGAATTCCCTGCACAGTCACACAGCCATGTGACCACCACCAACAGACTCCCTCGTGGCCTCTACCAAGAGCCCCAGCAGTGACCACCTCCAGGATCCAAGTCACCAGAGCCTGGTCTCAGACATAGCTTCACAATTGTACACCCTGGCCCTGAACACACTGGGGGGGAGGGGCAGGCTGACCCCTGAGCTTTGCTTGACCCCTGACACCTCCTTCCCCTGTTGAATGCTGGGTGTGGGTCACTTACCCCTATGGCACCCCCACTGCCATCGGTCACCAATGCAGGCTCCATGGAGCTTGTGCTCACCATCTAGAAAGGAATTCAGAGGCTGAATGTAAGGTGGCTCCAAGGCCACATGGCTGCATGTTCTGTGCAGCAGGGGGTCACTTCCTCAAACTCAGCACCTCTGTGCATTGGGGTAGGAGGTGCAAGAGAAAGAATCAGCAAAGTCTAATAAAGTCTGTGATCTGAGTTCGGGGTGGAGCTATTCCCACAGATGGGGCTGCTAAGCAAGGCTTGGCAAGCTGGTCCATCCTGGATGCACCTCCACAGAGCCTGGACCCAGGGCATCACGTTTCCTCTTCCCAGGGGCCCTTGCTATGCCCCTAGCCCCCACCCAGCACACTACCCAGGAACAGACACTTCCAGGCCTTCCTCACAGCAGGCTGAGATCAACCTCCTTGTTCAACTTTCTCTCCCAGATAGGAGGGATGGCCAGGCTCTGCCTTGGCCTCAGCCCTGTCTTTTCCTCCTGGCTACTCAGTGGAGACCCTGCAGCAGGCCTCCTGCACCGACCCAAATCCACATGGAGTCTACCCCCTGTCCCCCAGGGCAGCTCCCCAGGGAATCAGAAGAGCTGCCCTCAATACTCTCTCCACAGGGCTCTGAGCTGACATTTCCCGGAGCATGAGGGCAGAATTCGGGGAGAATTTACAACTGCAGAAAGATGTCTGCAGCCATTGGACATCCTGGGTTGGTCACAGTGGCATATAGGAAGGGCACGGGGGCTCAGTGATGATGGCGATGAGATGACAGTGATCTAGGTGTGTCCCTGAGCTTCTGTGAAACTCAGGTTCCATGGGCATTAAGACAAGACCCCTCCACGCACAGGGCTGGCATGCAGATGGCAAAACACAATAAGGTACTTCTTCCACACAGGCACGGACCCCCAGACTGTGGAGCCCAGCAGGCTGCAGGGGGCACTCCGTCAAGGGCGGGCAGGTGAACACATGTCTGAGCTCCCTTCCTGGATGCCTGCCCCTTTCTCCTTGGCAGCCAGCCATCCCCACCCTCCTGGCACAGGCTGCTGACTCACCGGGGAATCTGGGCAGAGGCCCGAGTCCTCGTCCAGGCTGCAGGCACTGCTGAACGCCCTGAAGGTCTCGCTCTTCTGCTTGTGCTTCTCAATGGTGGCCTGAATGACCTGGACCCAGGACAGAGTCATAGGGCTATCAGAGCTTGGGGAGGACTTGCACACTGTGGGGGGCACTTGCCTGCCTCTGTCCTCAAGGATGGGGTCTGGGTGTTCATGGAACACTGCCCACACCTGGGACCATTTTATTTTCCCTCAATGAATAGCTCTCCCTTGGAGCCATTGGGACCACAGAGACCTTCTCTGAAGGAGGACTCTTACCTGCAGCCCCTCTGGGCCCATTTGTGGCTACTTATTTATGGGGGAGGAGTTCAAAATGGCAAATGGATTGAAAGTCTTGTGGCATCTGAAGGTGCTTATGAAGACATGCCAGTCACTACCTAACTTCAAGGGGCGGAACACTGGGAGAAGCAATGGGCGGTGGGGGAGATGGTCACAGAGCCACCTTCTCTGTTCCAACAGGAAATGGTCACACTGCTCAATAACTTGGGGATCTGGTTATTTCAAAAATTTAGAAGCTTTACCTGAATCCATTCTTTTTTCTCCTCTTCTGTCCTATAAAAACAAGAACAGTATTTTACTAACCTGGTCTTGGAGACTGACTGTAGACCGCCCGTCTCTCTCCGCCCTGCGCACACACCAGCCACTCATTCTCCTAACTGAGGCTTGAGGCGTGGAAGTTTGGCTCTCAGGGCCCGAAGCAGTCATGGCCAGGTAGGACCAGGCTTGCCGTTCAGGGCAGCTGCAGCAAGGCCAGTCAACCCCTCCCTGGGCCTTAGCAGATGGTTATAGACTCTCAAGTCAGGGGTGAGGTGTGGGAGGCTGGATCTGCCACACACTCACAACACAAGCCTGGCAATGGGACAACAGCCTCTGAAATTCAGAACAGACACACTGCACTTTAACCAGCAACGTTGTCAGAAATGTATCAGATGGATACAATGACCCATACACACAAAAACCTAAGCATGAGGACACTGTCACCAATTGCCAGGGTGAGATCCAGGGAGGTCCAGGGACCTATCCATGGGAACCTGTTAATGATGATGAGGGAGAATTATGTTGCTTTAGAAAATGGTGTGAGGATAGGGGACGATGCCTGAAAAATTTAGCGAAAAATGGAAGATGCAGTCCAGGCTATCCGGGAATAGCATCTGTGGTTATCCCATCTGGAGAGGTGATTTTGAAAGAGTACATGGGGCTGTGTGACGGAGCACTCGCCTAGCATGTGCAAGGCCCTGGGTTCAATTCCCAGTACTGAAAAAAATAATCCTGATATAAAATTTTTGAAAAGTAGGTGAGTGTAGAAACTTCCAGAAGCATCCTTAAGCAAGGGTTAAGAATGTCTGCTGGACCTGGGGAACAGGAACTGGGCAGAGGCCTAATTTTTATTGATCTCCCCTTGGTGTAGTAAAACGTTGAATTGTGAATAAAAGAAAAAAAAATAAAAATATATTGAAAGGTCATTGCATTTAGGAAAATACACCGTTTGCGACAATGAGGTCAAAGAAGTTCAGAGCGCAGCAGACACTAGGGAGGCCAGAGCCATACCGGGCCTGAAGCTCCAGGGACCTTTTCCTTCCTGTGATGATGAATGTATGTGCTGCGTTTGGCTTGACGATATCCTGCACCTGCAGGAACAAGAGAAAAGAACAAAGAACAAAACATAAACAAACTCAAGCCCCTCATTCCAGCTCTTCCTCAGCACCAGCCACATGCAAGTTTTTTTTTTTTTTTTTCACATGGAAAATGATCTTTGAAATTTTTCCCTAGGGAGATGTCAGAGGTGACAGGTCATGGTGGCTGCTGACAGCTGCTGCAGGAGCTGACCCATGGGGGATACTGGATTGTCTGCCCTGCCCAAAGAGGGCTGGGGCCCTGTGCTTGGAACATGGCTGATCACATGCCTGACCCAACCTATCTGCCCATCAGCCTCCTCTAGAGGTGGCCCCCAGCCAGTCCCAGCCCAGCCTTTCCCACCAGCACTTCCAGGCAGCAGGTACACTCCTTAGGAGGGTTGAGGATCTTATGAGAAGAGCTAGGCAGGCCCGAACCCCCTTACAGATAGCTGAGTCCATGTGGGCAGGTGCATCCTCAGTGTACAGACGAAAATGGAAGAGCATGAGCCCAGAGAGAGCGGATGGAATAGTGATGTTTCCTTCTAGAGTCTCAGATTCCATCCTCAGCACTAGACCACAGAGCACAGTGACACAACAGAACTGGTGGTCCCTGTGGTCCTCAATCCCGTCAGAATCCACCTCCTCCCTCCACCTGCCAGCTGGAGGCTTTAAGGAATACAGACTCTGGATCCTGCTCAGAACCTCTGGACTCTCCCAGCCACAGGCTGAGTACTGCATTAACACATCAAATTCATTATCAGGACTGATTTCTTATAGAGAAACACTGGGAAAATGGTTGCTTCTAACTAGGGAAAAAGGTATTTTCCCCCTCTCTGGTTAGCCACTTGTAATAATTGGGTTTCTTAACCTAGATTCAGAGAATTTCAAGGAAAGAAGGGGTTTTATTTTTTGGTGTCATTTAAGAAAAAACTTTACTTTTCTTCCCTCACCCAGGAACTTTACTTTGGAAATGATTAAACACTTTCATGTAGCCAATATTTTTGGAGCACTGGCTAATTCAAAGCCTTCCCCACAGGGGCCAGAATCCATTCCACCTGCCACCATGAGACATGGAACAGGCTTACAGAGCCAGGGTATAGTAAGGACACACAGGCACCTGTGAGCCCTCTGCTGGCTCCAAGAGGGTTCAGGAAAGGAGAGAGCTCAGGGCCCAGGGTCCAGGCCAGGGAAGCAGACGCACGATCCACCTCAGATTTGTTCCTATAACCTGAGCATCACCTTTTGGCCTCTAAATGAGGCCCTGAGGTCTGGCCTTAAGTGACAACCCCGGCGGCTATTGAGGCTGTGCACTTGAGATTCCAATCACCTCCTGTGTCAGCCCATCATTCAACATGGGGCCAGCAGCGACCAGGCAGATGGGCCAAACCAGAGAGTGAGGAACCCTGCCCACCCAGCCCAAGATACCAGGGCCAAGATGATGTCCCAGCCACCCCTTGGTTACATATAGAGTTGGTGGCCAGAGCCTGCATCCCCACCCCTATTTGTGCCCCACCCCCAGTGTGGGGGAGGGCAGGCTTGAGAGACAAGGGCTCACCCACCTGGAGACCAGAGATGTCCATTTTTTCCCTGACACTGAACTTCTGGCCCATGAGTCGCAGTTTGGGCACACAGTAGAGGACCATGCTGTTGAACTGAAAGAGGGACAACATGGTGAGTGGCCACAGGACACTTTCTCCTTCTAAGTTTTTCCTTTTTCTTTCTTTTTTTTAATATTTATTTTTTTAGTTGTAGTTGTACACAATACCTTTATTTTGTTTATTTGTTTTTAATGTGGTACTGAGGATCGAACCCAGGGCCTCTCACATGCTAGGCGAGCGCTCTACCGCTGAGCCACAACTCCAGCCCTTTTCTTTAAGGTCAAAAAGTAAAGCATATTTTTTTAAAAGATGCAGAGGGGGGCTGGGGTGTAGCTCAGTGGCAGAGGACTTGCCTAATGTGTGAAGCCCTGGGTTTGATTCTCAGTACCACAAAGGAGATTAAATAAATAAAAAGTTAATAAATTGAGACAGGCAAGGTGGTAATCCCAGTTATTCAAGAGGCTGAGGTGAGAGAAGTGTGATTTTGAGGCCAGCCTGGGCAACTTAGTAAAACCCTATTAAAAAAAAAAAAAAGATGTGTGCAATCATTTTAGCTATGGTTACATCTATCTTCGAGCAAGGAGATGATTGTGGACAATAGATTTATTATTGTCCCATTCCTAGTTTTCATTTGTCCACCAGGCACATGAGCTAATTGTGTAATAAGAAAGCAAAACTTTTGAATAAGCCACTGATACACAAACATGAATGAAACCCAGCAATGCGCTTGTTGAATGAATGAAACCAGATTTGTCTCAGAGCACTTATGTGCTGTTCTGGAAAAGTGAAGCTATAGAAACCAAGAACAGGTTGATGGCAGCCAGGGGCTGCAGGAACACTAAACTCCACAGGGGCAGGACAAGGGAATTGGGGGACAGTGCTCCTATTCTTCGGTAACTTGATTATGGTTACATCAACTGAATTTGTGCAAAGTCAGAACTGCACAGCAAAGTTGAGTTTTGCTGAATGTGAATTTCTAAAACTTACTTAGAGAAAGGAACTTGCAAAGATCTAACTGCTTATTCAAGAAGAATAGAAGCTAGAGGAAATTATCAGGGGCCTGGAGTGGATCTCTCGCTGTAATTCCTTCCTGTCTTTCCCCTTCCCTCTAAATCAGAGTTTGGTTCTGGGATAGTTGGAATCACAACGTGAGGCTCCAGTTTGCGTTCACCTGGTTGCTGGAGACGGCCCAATCCCCACAGAGGACAGGGATGGATACAAGAGATAAAAATAGGAGATCTTTGCAGCAAACAGGGAAGAGCCACTGGCAAAAGATGATGTCCTCAGTCCTGACAGGAGAGGACACAGGAGAGCCATGTCCTTGAGCCCTGTCAGTTCTTTTCAGGACTTGAAGGGGCAGGTGAAGGGCTCTATGGCTGGGGTGGCAGCTGGACTCACCAAGAAGAGGTGGCGGTCCTGGGCCGTGCCATTCTTGGCCGACAGCTTCTGGATGTGGCCCTCCTTGATCAGCTCGTTGGCCGGGTTGACGATGTCTTCCTCTCCACCCAGTTGCTCGTACACCTCCAGGAGTTTGTGCATTTTCTCCTGCAAGAGACACAGAATTCAGGCAGGCGTAAGCCTACAGGGGCTGCTGGGGACCCAGAGGAACAGAGTCTTCACTGCAATTTCAACCCAGAACCCAATAGGGTAATGGGCCTGCTGACAATGGCATGGGAGGGAGACATGGGGACATTTGAGTTGGGTATTAAAGGACGAACAGATGTTCATCACGCAAGCAATAATAATAATAATAATAATAATAATAAATAACAGCTACCTCCTTTGCTATGTGTTTAACTCATTTAATTCTGACATTAACTGTGTGAAGTGGGCACCATGATTATCTTCAGTTTACAGACAATTACATGAAGAGGTCAGTTTAGTGGCCGCAATCCACATATCACCTTTCCTAAGCACTGGTTGGGTGGTACATGGCCAGGCAGAACCCTGAGGTGTGATGGGACAGGGTCAGTAGCTCATGGTCTCAGCTCTGAGCTGGAGGTCAGTGCAGCAGAAGGTAGGGCTGAGCCTGACGGCACTTGACAGTAGCAACACGGTCTGGGTCTGGGGCTGCCAAGCCTCAGCCGCTCCTGTTGTTGGATTTGAATGATCTTGGCCTGCACACCTAGGCTCAGGTGGGTTTGGCTCACCCTTCTGTCTCTGGCATGGATGCAGGTAAATGCAAGTGGACCAAACAACATAGGAAGGATGTGGGGGATTCTAAAGGAACAGCAGGGCAGGGCTGAGGACCTTGCAGGAAATAGGGATGCGCAGGTAACTGGTATATATACGGAGAAGTTGGGTGTGTACCCTTAGTAGAGGGCAGGGCTTACACCTGGCATGTATTGGAGGCAAATCTTATACATAGCAAATTCAAGGGAAGTTGGGCATGGCATGCCTGGGGCCTGTACTAGAGCTGGCTGGGCATACCTACCTGGCTTGTTCTAAGTGGGGGCTAAGCACCTACCTGGTATGTACTACAGAGGCAAGACATACACCTGGCATGTATTTTGGAAACTGGGTGTGCACCTGATGTGTATTAGGGAGGCTGGGGTATACAGTTGGCATGTAATAGAGTGGGCTGGATGTGCATATAGTGTGTACTAGGGAAACTAGGTGTGCACTTGGTGTGTCTTAGGGAAGCTTTGTATGTACCTGGTAGGTGCTGGGGGTTGGGCACACACTTGGCGCATATTTGGGGGGCTGGGTATATATCTGGTACCACTGGAGAGCTGGGCATGTACAGAGACAGCCTGTGAAAGAGACTAAAATACACTATCAGGAAATGAATGAGTAATTTAATGGTGACAATGATGACAGCTGACACTTATTTGGCCAAGTCGTGTTTTAAGCACAGAATGAACAGTGACTCTCCCAATCCTCCTGTGGCCAGTGAGAAAAGTTCCATCAGTGTCCCCATTTCACAGATGGGGAAGGTAAGGGGCAAGCACTAAATAACTGACTGAAGATCACAGATCTAGTAAGGAACAGGCCTGTCCAGCACGAGACAGGGCCCCTGACCACCTAGGGTCAAAGGTGCTCCCTGAAGAGGCCAACCTGGAGCAGGGATGAGGTGCCCTGTGGGGAGGCACCTGGGGACAGGGTAAATGTGCTCTCTAAAACAGCCCCCCAGGCCCTGGCTCCTGCACTGCTCTGCCATTTACCGCCCCCCCCCCCCCCCCCCCCCCCCCCCCCCCCTCCTCACTCACCATCTTCCGAATGGCAGCATTGGAGTGGTTGGCGGCTGTGGAGATGAGCTCCAGGGACCCTGCAGGAGGAGGAACCAAGTCACCCTGGGCACAGAGTGGCTCTGCACACTTTCAGGACAGGCTGACTCTGGGGCCGTGGGCGGCTGCTCCGTGGGGAGGTTCCCACAGCCCTTCTGAGGTGCCCAGGCTGCTCCAGACACCCGGCCCAGGCACAGGGTGGGGCCATGGCCCTGCAAATACACCTCATTTGCTGGCAGCCTGCTGGGGCCACATCAAGTGGGACCCCACTCTCCTGCATGGACTCCTGTCCTGTCTGCCACCAGCCACAATGGTCACTGCTAGGGGACCAGGAGCGGCCCTCACCAGTCCCACCAGGTCCTGTGGGGGCCTACACTCTGGATGGCGCCAGTGTTTGGCAGCACATAATAAATAAGTCCCCCTCATAAGTCTGGTGGAGGAGATTTACTAAGTCACTTCCTCGAGGGATTCTCTCTGTGTGTCTCTGTGATTCTGTCTCTCTCCCCATCTCCCCTTCTCTGTATGTCTCTCTCCCCATCCTGTTTCTATCTCTGTCTCTCCCTCCCTCCCCCTCTGTCTCTGTCTCTCTGCCTCTCTCCCTCTCCCCCACCCCAGGGGTTTCTGCAGCTGTCCCTGTCCCATCCCAGGCCCCCCTCACTTCACGGCCGCCTCCACTCACTCTCCGCATCCTTCCAGTCCGGGGCATCCCTGGGGAGCCTCTTCAGGTAGTCCTTGAGCAGCAGCTCGTAGCGGGGGACCCTCTGCACGGGCTCCAGCATGTGGTGCTGCAGCGTCAGGTTCCCACACACATCCTGCTTCTGTGGGGACACAGGGCAGTGCGGGGCACCCTGAGGACATGCACGTCCACACTGGCCCTGCTCCTGCTGCTGGCCACCACAGACCCAGGAGGCTGCCTGGAGCGGTCTGCCCTTGAAGACACGACTGGCACAGACCACATTTTTTTTTAGTTGTAGATGGACACAATATCTTTATTTTTTTTATTTTTATTTTTTAATGTAGTGCTAAGGATCGAACCCAGTGCCTCACACATGCTCAACCACTGAGCTACAACCCCAGCCCCACCGACCACGCTTTATACTGGGGAAGCTAAGGCTCAGAGAGGACCAGAACCCTGACTGGGATGGCTGCAGGCCCAGAGCTCACACCCTTAATGGAAAAATGGACATCAGGACACGACTGCCCCCTGCTGGCTAGAGTGATTTTTCCACACCATGCTTATGCGTGGGTCTGAGCTGACCTCCTCTCCCCATTGCTGGAAGATGGAGAAAGCTGTTCCTTACTCTCCCTACAGGGAATCAGGCCAGCATCTCTCCTCACACCTAGAGCTGCTCAGAGTGCTACAGACTTTTTCATTACAAACACAAGAGTGGCCAGGCACAGTGGTGCACACCTGTAATCCCAGAGACTCGGGAGGCTGAGACAGGAGGATTGCAGCCTCAGCAACTTAGTAAGGCTGTAAGCAAGTTAGTGAGACCCAGTCTCAAAAAATAAAAGGAGTGGGGATGTGGCTCAGTGGTTAAGTACCCTTGGGTTCAATCCCTGGTACCCTAAAACAACAACAATAACAACAACAAAAAACCCCACAGGAGTGAGCAAACCACCTGGTAGGTAGGTGGAGTGCTAAGTCCCTGGTGGCCCGGCCCCTGCCCAGCAGGGCTCATGCTCCCTGCATACCTCCCTGGCCCTGCATATGAACCACACTCCCCCTCCTCCAGCCCCCCAGCACCTCCTCACTACCGCCACCTGGGAGATCTGGACACCTATACAGCACAGAAGCCCCAGACACGAAGGGCTCAATGCTGTCCCCATCATCTCTGCCCCACTTGGGGATTCCTGCCCAAGCCATCTCATTTGCTCCTCTCCCAACCGTGCTCACGGGGCTGTGCACCTTGGCTAAGAGGACCTGCTGCCTCTGTCACACTGTCCACCTGCTTCCCCATCCCCTTGCCAGCAACTCAAGACCCTCACCTGCCTCAGGGCCCAGAATGACACAATTTTCAGCTCAGATAAGCTAAAAAATGCCTTGGATACAACAGGGCTAGGAACACCCTGGTTTAACAACCTTCATAAAAACAATGGTGTGACACAGAATCACCGAAGGATGCTGAATAAAGTACTTGCATAACATCAAAGTGTCTTCCTAGGAGAAACTTAATAATAGGGAAGGAAAAAAAATCTAACTTCATGATGGAGAGACATGAACCTTAATCAAATGAGCATCCCTAGAAGTGGGACAAATGGGAATGGTGTGTGGCCAGGAAGGACACAGTGAGACAGCCTTGCTCCAGTGAAATTCAAAAAGGAACAGCATGGGTCAAATCCTGGGCAAACAGCTCACAAACCCAAACTCAGAGACATTCTGCAAATACCTGGCCTGGTCTCCTCAAGAAGATGAGGACAGAGGCCTGTTCTTGAAGAAAGCAGAGAAATCTGATAATGAACACTCTGTAGAAGGAAGGAAGGAAGGAAGGAAGGAAGGGATGGAGGGAGGGTGGGTGGGTAAAAGAACCTCACTGGGTCAACTGTGACATCTGAGTGTGGCTTACAGAGCAGTGTGACACCAGTGCAAAATTCCTGGTTTAATCACTGTGCTGGGGTCATGCAAGAGAACATTTTCTCATTCACATTTAAGGGAAAAGGCTAACAGTGTCTATAACTCTGTCTTCAAAGACTCAAAAAAAGAGAGGATGATGGACAGGACAAAATGCTACCAGTTTGTAACAGCTTGTCATTTTTGCAACTTTTTTGTAAATATTTAAGATAATTTAAAAACAAATGTTTTATTTTAAATATGCCTTGGATTGCACAGAGGGAAATCTCCAGAGGCCATAGGAAACTTGACTGTGATGCTATCCTGTTTTGAGCACTCCAGGGCTTCTCAGCCTTGGCCTCTGGGCATTTGGGTGGGAGACTTTGTGGGCTGTCCTGTGCACGTCAGAGCATCCCCGGCTTCCACCCACCAGATGCCAGGAACAACAATGTCTACATGGTTTAGGTCCCTGAGGTGGGGGTGGGGTGGGGGGTGCAATGTCATCTGTAGAGAATGGCTGGACCCTGCTGATTCCAAGGGGTGGAGCCTTCCCACAGCCTGCCTGGTTCAGCACCAGAGATCTGCCCAGGTGTGGGAACATGTGACTGTGGGCCATGACAGCTAGCAAGTGTCCCCAGGCAGATGTTGCTTAGGACGATGTCTGCCTAACGTAGATGGGGGACAGCAGCCTATGCCAGGCTGAGTGTCTGTCTTCATCTCAGGAAGGAGCTGCTTATTGAACTCTGTAGCGCACACATGTCAAGGTACATGGCTGCATGAGTCGTGTCACATCTCCCAGGAAGAAAGCACGCTTCCAGGGCTGAGATTGTGGCTCAGCGGTAGAGCGCTTGCCTAGCACGAGCGGGGCCCTGGGTTCAATCCTTAGCACCACATAAAAATAAATAAATAAAGGTATTGTGTCCAACTACAAAACTTTAAAAAAAAAGAAAGCACGCTCCCAGAGTATCCCTCCCCTACTCCTGCATTCTGAGACCCAGAGGGGAGACACAGCTGACAGACAACCTGGGGAACAAACCAAATGAACCCCGATATTTTTTTCTGTTCTTCCTCAAAATAACAAAGTCAGATGTCGACGGGCCAATGCAAATTTAGATGGAGGTCAGCTTTCTCAATTATGGTGTTAAGATGATGATGATGATAATGTAGAAAGAAGAGAAGGAGGCGGAGGAGGGGAAAGAGAAAAAAAGAAAATGGCAAACTTCAGCATGAGGACAAGGAAGGACATGCAGGCCATGTGCAGCTTGGGCCAGGGAGGAGCGGAGGAGACCCCAGGGTTCCTTCACCCCTTGAATAATTGATGATACATTGACTTTAAGGGGAACATGCTTCCTGGGAACAAAAGCATGTTGCAACTTGTGTCCTGGAAAGTGGACTTTTGTCCTGATCTCCTCCACCAGCTGAATACTCTACCCTCTGAGAAACCCCGCTCAGGATGGGCCCTGTCTGCCCCGGAGGCCTGGCTGCATCTGTGGACAATGTGAGCTGGGCAGTGATGAGAGTGTCCTGGGGGAGCTGCTGTGTCAGCAAAAATGCAGCTGGTTGAGGCTGGACATGGCAATTTTGTGGGGATGGCCAGGGTGAAAGCCAGGGAGGAGCCAGCCAAGAAGTACAAGGAGAGGGGTCAAAGGGGAGGGGCTCAGGGAGAGGACATGGTGGTCTTTTCTGGGGCCTGACTCTGCTACTGAGTCAGGGGCACTAGGAGACCATGGTGACCTCATGACAGATGGCCTAGGGAAGAGGTATTAGGGGCCACTCCAAATACCCAGTGGTGAGCATTCAGGGCCCAGGAACCCTTCAAGCTACAGTGAGGCGTGTGGTGTGCGTGTATGTGTATGTGCATGCACACTCAGGGTCACTAGTGGTGTTGAGATGAGCAGCTGGCTATGAACCTGGGTTCTTCCCACACACCACAATCCATCTGGACACTATATTGGTCTATCTTTTTAAAAAGCTACCTTTTGTACCTGTGGTGAATATAGGTACTTAAAAACCAAAAATTCTGTTTGGCCATCCTCACTGTAAAGCTAATAAATCAAAGATCCATGGGCAAAAGTAAATCATGTCAAGGTGACAGATAAAAGTTGATGTTCTTAATATACAAAAACCTTGTGAATCAGTAAGAAAAAGACCAACACTGCAGGAGACAAGGGTGCTATAAACAGGCTACTGCTGACAAAGAAAAAGATAATAGGACACCTGCTAAATGCCTGCCCTACACATCGAGGGACACTTGGAGTCAGAGACAGATCTCTGAATCCAGGTTTTATCAAATAATAATCTGTGCTGCTAAGCCATGATTTATCCATCTGTGAAATGGGAATGATGATTTGTCCCTGGGAGTCAGAGCGAAGCGTCTGTAGAGCACCAGGACCCATCCCATAATTTTACTGATTTTCTCTCTGCTCCAAATGCACCCAGAAGCACGAGCCTTGAGGACATCTGTGCCCACAGCCTGCGGCCACCTACCTGGATGCTGTGGATAACGTCCTTAAACGGCAGCGAGCGCTGGGTCCATGTGCTCACCAGCCCCACCGCCCGGTCAAAGTTCTTGACATACTCGCCATACATCTTCAGGAACGGGGCTAGCTTCTGCAGGATGTCCCCAAGCCGAGGGTTTGTGTCCCTTGGTAGAGGAGTAGGGTCATCAGAGAAGCAGCCTGGGTGGGAGGGGCCTCCCGAGGTTAATGGACATGAACTTCACCCATGAACTGCACAGAGGGATACGGGGCAGGCAAGGGCAACAACCTGAGTCCCTGTGTTGTGTGACAGTGGGCACATTGGTCACCTGCTCTGAGCCTGCTTCCTCCCCTCCACTATTTGGAGGGTAGAATATAACATGTTACTGGATATTTGAGGGGAAGATGTCTATAAAGCACCTCGACAGCTCAGGCTGAGAATCAGAGCCCAAACACAGGAGCACCCTTGGGTGACAGGTCACAGTTTATAAGAGGATCAACTTTACACCTTTTAAGTGAGCAAAGGTTAGAAACGATGGTTCTGTCCAATGCTGACAAAGTCACCAGGGAGCAGCACTTCACGATCATAGGAACTTCCTTCTCTTCTGGATGGGGCTTTGCGAATAAGTCATAAGAAGTAAAAAAAGTATATTAATAGCCTTTGATTTTGGAGCTCTCTGTTGGGGATTTATTCTAAGTAAATACTTACAAATAAAGAAAGAAGCCTTAGGCACAAAGGCCTAGCTGTGGTGCTCCTTTGAAAGGATGCATGTGGGTTTGATTGAAAGGCCCAGCAATTCAGGGAGGGGAGGGTGGGGAAGTGGTGGGTCCCTTGCACCAGAAAGGGAGCTGAGGAGGCGCCTGTTAGGCCCTTATGGTTGAATCTCTGTGGCATGAAAGGAGAATCTGTCTCTAACACACAAGGACTTTGTCATCAAGGCCCCACCCAATCCTGACCTTGGGGACACAGTGTAACCTGCTCTGCAGCTGGACTCTGTCCTGAATATTCACAAAGTAACTCAGCGCCCCCCTGGGCTACAGGTGAAAGAATCCCCAGCCAAGTCCCCTGGTCCTGGGCTCTGGGGACACCAAGAGGAAGCCAGGCTTGTGAAGGAGGTGGACAGCAGGGGCCCTAAGCCAAGCTTTAGGTTTCCCAGAATTTGGGGTGGGGGTGCACATAAAAAGGAGAAATGATGGGTTGGGGGGCCTCGTCTGTGATGTGTTACTAATCGTGTCTTGTAACCAAGCTGTCCCTTGGCTAAGAACGGGCAAAAGCAATAGAGGGGCAGGATCAGCAGAGGAGGAAGATCTATAATCTACTGTTGATGGGGAGGAAATCTCATTCCTTTTTAAAGCCAAGGTGCAGTGCATGCTAGAAAGGAAAATAAAACCAACTAGCACTATTTGTTCACCATCTTGTGTTTCTGGATATCGAGTCTCATTTCAATTCCATAGATCCCTGTGACTATTAAAATCCCCTCATTTTTGTATCATCAGTTTCCTCAAAATTTAAGGCTTGGAGACCCTATGTGGCCCATCAAGGTCACCAGCAAGGAAGAGTGGGGCTGGGATTCGGACCTAGGACCAGGCCAAGAAGGGAGGCACCAAGGCCACTGCGAGACAGGCCCCCCCAGGTGCTGCCTGGTTCTTACACAAGGAGCCAGGGGGCCATGGCTGGTACTCACCACTCCTCCGTGATCCGCCGCTGCAGCTCGGGCAGCAGGAACTGACCATGGAAGCGGTAGATGGAGGAGATGTTAGAGAAGATGCCAGTAGTGACTTCCGAAGGGATCCCCGCTTTCGTCAGCGCGGTGCAGAAAACCTGGGCATGAAGAAGCCCATGTCAACCAGGGAGCACGGACCATGGTGGGCAGTTACCGTGAGAGGCATCTGTCACAGCGGAGGGGCCCTGGGCAGTGTCCCCACCCTGTTTTTCTTAATGAATGCCAGAGTTGTTGTCTTCTTTTTGTCATTAAACTGGTTCAATAAATACTCATGGTCTTGACACAAGCTTATTTATAGCTGAGAGTTGTGAGCAAGGCAGTGGGCAGTCCCTGGGGAAGGAGCAAGACATCTTCCTGTTCCCCTTCTCACAAGAAATGAAAAGTCAAGATTTCCTTCTCTGGCTTCTGAGATTCAAGCAGAAGCAATGCACCCTGTCAAATCTTGGTTTCCACGGGCACTTTATTTCCTGTGCTCAGGGGCCCCATGTTACCTCGTGAACTCTGATGTGTGGCACTCCCACCCCAACTTATTTATGCAGAAAAATGCCCAGCAGCCATTTACATACTCAGATCATGCAACCACCAAGAAGAGTTCCAAAGGTGGTTGGGCAGAACCTTTACCCCACAGCCACAGGCATGGAAAGAAAAATGTAGGTTTCTAGACCGGACTTAAATTTTTCAAAGTTTTAGCATTTTTTACTCCAAATGCAATGTTCAATCAATGTAAGGATGAAGAGTTTGTCTCTGAAACTGCCCATAGGAATTCTGCAAGTGGACAAAGCCGGGCCCCTCAGTTGTGGGCTACCTGGTCCAGCAGGTGCAGCCGCCTAACGTAGGTCTCTTCAGTGTGCAGGAGCTCCTGGGCGATGTTGAACAGCTTCTGCGGGTCAGAACACTGCAAGGGGAAGGAAAGCAGCTGGGTTACCTGCAGTGTGCCAGGATGACCAGGGGACAAGACGCCCAAAGGAGGCCACTAGGACTGGGATGCGGCGTCAGTTCTCATAGATGCTATTTCCAGGGAGGGCTTTAGGAAAAGCACAATCCTCCCCAAACCAGTCCCCTCCAAACAACTGTACTCCAGAGATGACTCTCCATTCCTGGAGCTTTGACTACAAAAAAGCTGTAGTGACCACAGAAAAATCTATATTGCCGCGTTGGGGATGTAGCTCCATGGTATAGTGTCTACCCAGCATGTGTGAGGCCCTAGGTTCAATCCCCAGCACTGTAAAGTTAAAAAAAAAAAATTAAAAAGTAATTGCAGAGCAATATCAGATGGCAGTCTGAGAAGTTGCAGACCCTCCTTCCTCCACAGAAACACAGACTTGACAATAATATAAAAGACTACCAAACCTCTAGGAGAAATACAAAGGCCAGTTGAAAAGCCACAGCACTCACAATTGTAAAATCAAGAAGGGATTCCAGGGGAAAGTGTAGGAAAATTGGTGGCATTTGGCATGCCTGTCTTCGTCTATTTGTACTGCAATAGCAAAGTATCTGAGAATGGTAACTTATAAAAAACAGAAATCTATTTCTCACAGTTATGCAGGCTAGAAGTCCAAGATCAAGATCAATAATGAGGTTTGGTGTCAGATGAGGTCACAGTCTCTGTTTCCAAAATGATGACTTTGAAGGCTTGCCCCCACGTGACAGAGGGATGAAAGGTCAAAAGGGGGGTGAATGCTGTGTCCTCAAATATCAGAAGAGCAGAAGAGAACGGACCCACAAACTTCCTTTTATTTTATTACTTCTTAATTTTTACCGTGCTGAAAACTGGACCCAGGGCCTCAGGTGTGCTCGGCAAGCGCTCTGCACTGAGCTACAGCCCCTGCCTTCCTCCCTCCCTTTTGTAAGAGCCTTGATTCTATCCACAAAAGCTCTGTCCTCGTGATTTATTCACTTCCCGAAGGCCCCACTTCTTGGTTCTATCACGGTAGTGATGAAGTTTTAACATGTAGATTTGGGGGGCACATTCAGTCCACAGCAGTGCCCTTTAGTGCTCCTCTCCCTATGTGGCACAGCAGGGAACAACTGGGAGGCAACCTACCATACCAGAGGGCCTTCTGCAGGACAAGAATCAAAGAATTAAACATGTGCCCATGGTTCTGGTGTGTCTGACGGCCGCCCCAGGGACTGGACTCTGTCTGATCTGAGTGCAGAACTAATGAGTTCAGCACAAGACTTTGAAAGTCACTGAAAACTAAGCCTAACAGTTTGTGAGAGCCTCAGTTCTGCAGGCAGATGCTAAGGCAACAAGAGGTTGGAGAAGGTCTGAGAGGTTCTAGGACCTCTAACTGGACTGATTAGTGAAGGACTTCTCCTTCTAAAGATTGGGAGAGGTAATTGTTTTTTTAAATGCCCAGATTTCAGCACACACACACACACACCCCTCCAAATTACAAGCATACAAAGAAACAGGGAAATATGGCCTAATCAGAGGAATAAAATAAAAACCTCAAACCAACCCTTAAAAAACCACAAATTTATGAGCTTCTTGAGAAAAACAAATCGATATATATTTTTATAAAAGTTCTTAATGAACTAAAAGGACACAGAAGTAACTAAATAAAACCAGGAAGTGATACATGAGCAAAATGAAAATATAACAAAGGGATTAAAAACTGTAGAAGAAAAAAGAAAGGACTTAATGTCCATCAGATGGACCAACATATCCATGTGGGAACTACAAAGGATAAGAAAGAGAAAAGAGCAGAGAATGTTTTGAAGAAATAATGGCTGAAAGTCCCCAAATTTGGAAAAAAAAAATTCAAGAAGCTCAAAGAAATTCAACTAAAATAAATCAAGAGAGAACCTCATGGAACCATGTTGTAAGGGGCTGGGGTTGTAGCTCAGTGGTAGAGTGCTTGCCTGGCACGTGTGAGACACTGGGTTCAATCCTCAGCACCACATACAAATAAATATCAAATGAAGGTATTGTGTCCATCTACAACAGCCCCCCCTCAAAAAAAATTTAAAAAGAAACATGTTATAATCAAAACATTCAAAATCAAAGACAGCAAGGAAAAAAGCAATTATTTCATATATAGGGGCTTTCATGAGATTATCAGAGGATTCCCCAGGAAAATTCGCAGGCCAGAAGGGAGTGGGATGATAAATTCAAAACATTGACAGAGGGCTGGGGCTGTAGCTCAGTAGTAAAGTGCTTGCCTCAAATGTGTGAGGCACTGGGTTTATACTCAGCACCACATAAAAATAAATAAAGATATTCTATGTTCAACTACAACTAAATAAATATTAAAAAAAAAAAAAACATTGAAAGAGCCAAACATGTTGGTGCACACCTGCAATCCCAGCGACTTGGGAGGTGGAGGCAGAAGGATCAAAAGTCCAAAGCCAGCCTCAGCAATTTAGCAAGGCCTAAGCAACTTGGTGAGATCCTGTCTCAAAATAAAAAAAATAAAAAGAGCTGGGGGTGTGGCTCAGTGGTTAAGCACCCCTGGGTTCAATCCTCAATACCAAAAAAAAAAAAAAAGTGCTAAAAGTACAAAAACCTGTCAATTAAGAATATAGCATCAGGGTCTCTGCAGCAGCGGCACAAGAAAGTTTCTTCCACTTTTTGACAGAGTATTGGTCGAAAGGGGTGCAGCTGAAACTGTAACCAAAGGAGGCATTATGCTTCCAGAAAAATCTCAAGGAAAAGTATTGCAAGCAACAGTAGTAGCTGTGGGATCAGGCTCTAAAGGAAAGGGTAGAGAGATTCAGCCAGTTAGAGTGAAAGTTGGAGATAAAATTCTTCTCCCAGAGTACAGAGGCACCAAAGTAGTTCTAGATGACAAGGATTACTTCTTATTTAGAGATGGTGACATTCTTGGAAAGTATGTAGAATGAAACAAATCACTGTTGAAATGGCATCCTATGAAGCTGCCCTGTCCACTGAAGTTCTGAAATCTTTCATCATATAAATAATTTCCGTGTCTCTTTTATAATAAACTGATGATAATCTAATAATAATTTTTAAAAAAATATAGTATCAGAGCAGGGCATGGTGGTGCACGCCTGTGACCCAGTGGCTTTAGAGGCTAAATCAGGAGGATTGCGAGATCAAAGCCAGCCTCAGCCACTTATTGAGGCACTAAGCAACCTTGCCTCTTAAAAAAATAAAAATAAATAATAATACAAAAAAGGGCTGGGGATGTGGCTCAGTGGTTAAGTGCCCCTGGGTTCAATCCCCAGTAGCAGAAAAAAGAAAAGAATATAGCATCAGGCAAAACTGCCTTTAAAAAATAGAAAAGAAATTAAGACTTTCTCAGGTAAAGAAAAACAAAAGCTAAGGGAGTTCTTTAGCACTCAACCTGCTCTACAAAAAGTGATGAAAGGATTCCTTCAAGTTGAAATGAAAGGATGATAAACAGCACACGATGATACAAGGTTCTCTAATACAGGCAAATACATGGATGAATATAATAATGTAGAACTAGAAAACAATAGCACAGTGAAAATCCACAGATATGTACAAATTAACTAACACTTTTAAACAACCAATAGTTAAAAGAAGAAGTCACAAGATAAATTTTAAAAATGCATTGAAATTAAATGAAATGCCAACATACCTATGAACTGACCGTTGAGAGGGAACTATTTTAGCTGTAAATAGGTACAAATGTTCAAGAAAGATCCTGAAGCAGGGCTGGGTTGTGGCTCAGGGGTAGGGAACTCATTTGACACATGTGAGGCCCTGGGTTCGATCCTCAGCACCACATAAAATTAAATAAACAAAATAAAGGCATTGTGTCCAACGACACCTAAAAATATAAATATTAAAAAAAAAGATCCTGAAGCAGCCACCTAACTTTACACTTCAAGAAACTAGAAAAAGAATAGCAAGCTAAACTCAAAGCTAGCTAAAGGAAGGAAATAGTATAGATCAGAACAATGATAAATGAAACAGAATGCAAAAACAATAGAAAAAAAATAGACAAAACCGAGTTGTTTTTTTTTTAAAAGGTTAGCAAAATTAAGAAAACTTGAACTAGATTAACTTTTTATAGAGAGATAACTAAAATCAGAAGTGAAAGAGGGAACCCTATAATTGATACCACGGTAGTAAAAAGATCCTGAGAATACCATAACAATCACACTCCCAAATTGCACCATCTAGAAGAAATAAATGTTTAGAAACACATAACTAGGAGCTCCAGTGGCGCAATCGGTTAGCGCGCGGTACTTATACAGAAACACATAACTTATAAAGACTGAATCATGAAGAAATAGAAAATCTGAGATCAATAATGAGTAAGGACATTAAATCAAAAATTTCCCAAAAAAGTAAAGTCCAAGGCCAGGTGGCGTTACTGGTGAATTCTACAAAATGTTTAAAAAATTATCATTCTCAACGCCTCACCCTACACTTAGGGAGCACCGAAACTCAAAGTGTTAAAGGCTTAAGTCTAATTGAGCCTCAAGTATTTTGCTAACCCTAGAAGAACATCCCCTTTTAGTAAATGGGTGGAGATTCTGCCCCGGAGAAATTCCTGTCTGGGAATTGGCTCAACCTCCATGAATCCAGGAGTGACAGCCCAGCCATCCTGATCCCCTAGTGGTCCCCAGCCCTTCTCCAGTCCCTGTGGGAATGGCAGCTTCACACCTGACCAGGCAACCTCACATGTCCACTGAGATCTGAGCAACCTCGGGGCCAAGAAGAGTGCTGCTGCGTGTGTCCCTAAACTTTTCCTAATGCCTTTCCCTTATGACTCTCGGGTTCTAGCTAACTCCTCATAGTGCACAGCCTGGTACACTAGCTTGATGTGTCACCCCCTGTGTCACCCCCTGTCCCACACCAGGTCTCCTAACTGGACCCAAGTTAAGTGGGGCAGTGCTGCAGTTGGGAGCTGGAATGTCCCTCAAAGGCTGGTGTGTTAAACATTTGGTCCCTGGCCTGGTGCTACTGGGAGGAGGTAGAAACTTTGGGGAATGGGAAGTCTTTAGCTCAGTGGGGAAATGGCCTGCAAAGGGATTGGGGGACCCCAGTCCCGTCCTCTTGGTCTCTCTCACTCCCTGGCCATGAGTTGCATGGCTTTGCTTCACGGTGTGATCTTGCCAAGATGGGCCACCAACGGGACAACAATCATGGACTGAAGCCTCTAAAATTATGAGCAGCCAAAATAAAGCTTTTCTCTTTGTAAGTTGATTTTCTCAGGTATTTGTAGTGATGAAGGTTGACTAAAACAAGGGACAAGGCCCAGGATCCTGGGCTCCTGGACCAATACTAGCCCCAAGGACCTGGTGCATGGTGAATGGTTATTCTTTTTTTTTTTTTTTTTTTAGTACTGGAGATTGAACTCAGGGGCACTCAACCACTGAGCCACACCCCCAGTCCTATATTATATTTTATTTAGAGACAGGGTTTCACTGAGTTGCTTAGCGCCTCGCTGTTGCTGAGGCTGGCTTTGAACTCCTGATCCTCTTGCCTCGGCCTCCTAAGCCACTGGAAGTACAGGTATGTGCCACCATGCCCAGTGAACAGTTATTCTTATGGGTAATGGAAGCACTGGAGACTTTCCTTTTTTTCTGGTACTGGGGATTGAAACCAGGGGTGAATAACCACTGCGCCACACCCCTAGCCCTTTTTATTATTTATTCTTATGTTGAGACAGATTCTCACTAAGTTACTTAGGGCCTCACTAAGTTGCTGAGGCTAGCCTCCAACTCGTGATCCTCCTGCCTCAGCTCCCAAGCCACCTGGAGTCTTTCTATTATGAATACTGAGACCTGGGCCTTCCCCAGACCCAGTGGGCAGGCCTGGGGGTCTGCAGTTTTCCCAGCCCCCAGGAGGCTGAGTCAATTGGCCCAGGCTGGGCTGGAGCACACTTTGAGAGTCTTAGGTGGTATGACCTGTATTAGCTGCACCCCTTCTTTTCTGTATTCTAAGTCTTTCTGATCCTGCAGGGACTGACCCCTGTCCCCACTCCTACACTGGTCAATTCCTAGAGATGCTAAAGAACTCACCTTCTACCACACCTTACAAATGCAAACCAACCAACTCCAGTCCACACCATCACCTCCTTTGGGAGGATCTCACTCTGGGCTACTACCCACCGGTGCTCATCACTCCAGGGCCAGAGTCCAGAGAACCAGGGAGAGCCTTCTGCCCCAAAGCCTGCTGAAGTTCTCCAAGCTAGGAATCCTGCACCTGCTCACCACGGCAGGGCTGCTGCCCAGAGCTCTTCCTCGCGCTCTGTCTCTAACTGGCCCTCGGGCTGCCCATGTGGCCCCTGTGGCACGCTGTGCCCCTTTCTGCTGGGAACTATGGTCACCAAACTATGTTTTCACTGGCAGCTGTCTCCTGATCTTGGGATTGAACTCAGGGGCACTCAACCACTGAGCCACATCCCCACCTGAATAGTAACACCCGTATGAACACAGGGCCCGGCCTTCCCTCTGCAGAGCTGGCTCACAGTGGCCTAGGCCAGCTAGCTGCCTTTCACCTGCCAAGCCCACACAGTTAGCAGCAAAACTGCTACCAGAGCCAGCAGGCCCCACCCGGCCAAATGCCTCCTGGACCTGGTCATTTGGCAGCTTGCCCGCATCTCTAGGCGCACAGGGCACTCAGCCTCAGCCATGCCCTGTGGGTGACCCTGGGGAAACACTAGGCTCCCCGTGCCTTGGTTTCCCCTTTTAGAAAATGGGTGGCGCTCCTCCTGCCTTCCTTGAGGCTCGCGTCTGTGAGTGGCACCACCAGTAAGACTGACCATCACCCCTTCCTAGGGTGGGGGATGCCCACCATGCAGCATGGGAGTAGAGGCTCAAGCGTAAGGTCGCTGCCCAAGGTTTCAGGTGGGGCTGGCCTGGCTTTTCCCAGCAGACCCCACCCCAGGAACCTCCCCTTGCAATGTCATAGACCACAGATCTCAAACCCTCCCCAAGGAGGGCCCCAACAGACCGTACCTGAGATGGAGGAAGAGAGGCCTACCTGGGCCAGGCCGGTGTCCTCCTCAGCTCTAGCAGGGCTCTTCTCGGGGTCAGGCTCCTCACCCACGTCACTGTCAGCCTCCTCCTGGGGGCTGTCCTGCAACGCCTGGCTGTCCACACCAGTCTCAGAGTGCAGCCCCAGCATCGTAGGACCTGGGGGGACCTCAGTGCCCTCCTCACAGGGGAAGTTCTCACAGGTTATACTGGAGGACGGGCTGTCAATCCCACTGTCCCGGTTGGGGATCTTCATGATGCTTCTGGGCTCCCCCAGGGGGCAGGTGTCTGGAGTGCCATCTCCTGCTGCAGCCAGGCTGTCAGGATCCCCCTGGTGGGTGCCAATTCCAATAGGAAGCTCCCGAAGCTTCCCCAGGGAGGAGCTGCCAGGCCCAGCATTGGTGACAGCTTCTGGGGACATTGAGGATCCCTCACCTGATTCCATCCTTGAAGCAGAACTCAGTGGGCTCTGTGGGAAGCTGCCAGGGAGAAATGGACCCAGCTCAGGGGAGCCCCTGAAAGCAGCCCCAAGACAAAGCCAGGTAGGGCTGCATTCGCAATGTCGACACCCTGGTGGACTTCAGCGGGGTCCTGTCTGGATAAGCTGTCTGAGAACGGCACAGGGAAAATACGTTATTTTTAAATCATGTTCTTCTACATTAAAAAACAAAGTCATTCTCCAGTGTAGCTGTGGAGTTCCTGTGGGATGAGGCCATCCAATGCTCAGTAAGTTCAAAACAACCACGGCCAGAGCACAAGCACAGCGGCTTCCATTCATAACGCACTTTTGTGTCCATAGTATTTTGGGAGCTGATGATACTCCCAGGAGATGAGGCTGGGGTCCCCAGCACCTTCACCTCCTCTCCCTGGCCATTACCATCACCTGCTGCACAGTGAGGAGCAACCTGCCCAGCCCTGACCTCCCACTGCCTCCCAGGGGGAGGGCCAGGTGAGAGGTGGGAAGGTGGGTCTTGCCCCAGGATATGGGCTCAGGCCTTTGCCTCGGGTGATGGTCACTTACCTCTTAGCTAATGCCACTGAGGTTTGACAGGCGGGTGTCTGCTTCCTGTTGGGTTCTGGGGTTGGCCGGCAGAGGCTGGACGATTTGATGGAAATCTCCTGCCTAGCAGGTTTGAACTGGAGCCATTTGGGACCTACTGGAAAAGCAGCAGAGGAGAATGGAAACCGTCTCCTCCAGCTGGCACGTGGAGCAGCCCCAAGACCCAGTTCTACAAGCAGGGGGTGGAGAAGGGCAGCTCAGGCCCCTCCCAGAGCAGCAGACCCCCAGGCAGGGCACAAGTGTCTTCGAGATGGACGCAGGACATGGCAAAGCCTATCCTTGACCTCTATGGCCACACGCATTGCAGAGAAGGACAGGGTGGCACCAGCGGCCACACCCCATGCGTGGGCAGTGCCCTGCAACCAGGAAGGACAGATCACCTTAAATATGCAGGAAGTGCTCAGAATGAGGAGAGCCAAGGGCACCACCTGGCCCCTCCCCAGCCCACACCCCTACCTTACCTGGACACCCTCCGGGACATTCCCCTGTACACTCACACACACACACACACACACACACACACACACTCACACTCACAAAGTAGCTCCTATACTCCCATTGACACGCACACCGTAGCTACCGGATCACAAACACATTCACACAGTAAGGCGCACACACGTTAGCTCTCTCACATGCCCACATTGACACACAGACTCATATACACTCACACTCAGATATTCTTCTTCCAGAAGCTTCTTTATGTGCTTCCTCCCTCACTGCTAAGCACAATAAATGGTGATCAGTGCAGAAACTGGTTCCTCCGGGTACAGGCTGTCTTCCCTGAGCTGGCACCTGGTGGCCTCACCACCCAGAGAGCACAGCACACAGCCCACTATGGGACCAGCTCCTGCGGGCGTCCCCTGTGACTTTAGGAGCCAATGAGTGCCTGCAAAGCTCCTCCCCACCCACACAAGCTCCTGAAAATTTACTTTCCTGTGGTAAGACTACCTCTGAGTGGACCTTTCTTCAAGTGACTTCAGGTGGACATTTATCATTGGCTACTGCCACATTCTTAGCTAGCTTAATGGACAGAAATATTAAGATTTCCCAACAGAAAATACGTGTTTTGCTGCATTCTTCTCATAGCATGGGAGATAAACTCAAGTTTCCAGAAGTCAGACATGACACTGAGATAAAAGTACACGGATGGAATGTGGGCTGTGCTCAGCCCTGGTGTCCAAGAGGCAGCTGTCTGGCAGGGCAGAGTCTGGTTCAACCCCAACTCAGAGGAATTATGCTTCTGGTCAAGGTGGAACAACAGAAACCAGATTTATTCTCACCTGAAACAGCAGGATATGAACAAGACTCTGTAAGCCAGTCAGCAAAGCCCCGTGAACCCTGAGAGGAGGGATCAAATGGGACAAGCCTCCCTGATGCTCCCACTCACTGTCTGCAGACCATGCTGGGCCGAGGAGTGGGGACGGGAATTCTCCAAGTTGAGAAGACAGAGCTGGGAGTCTGGGAAACCAAGGTGACTGGGGCTTACAGAACAGAGCCCTAGAGAGGAGAGAGCCACACAGAGAAAGAACCTGGAGATGTGAAGGGGGTCCTTCAAGGACTGTTCACATGTCGATGTGAGGAAACAAGAGAGGCTAGAGAAAGAATGGCCTGAGAAGATCAGAGGGAACATTCCCTGAAGCTCCCACAGGGCAAAGCAATCCCTCTTCCTACCAGCCAGTCTTGAAAGTCCAAGGTTGACACACAGACTCACCTACACTCACACTCAGATATTCTTCTTCCAGGGCATTAGGGCCAGAACTCAGGAGGGACATGCCCTAAGAGTGGGGGTTAACCCTACGGTGACCATTGCTCTGATCCCACCTAACAAATCTTAACAGGAAGGCCAAACTGTTAACAACTTAGCTGCATCCCTGAAGAGAGCTCAAAAATACTCAAATAATTTAAAAACAAAACAAAACAAAACCCAGCTCCCAGCAAAAGAAGTCACAATGTCTAGAATCCAATCAATAATTACTAGACACACAAAGAGACTATACAACCCATAATAAGGGAAAAAACAAACAAAACAAAACTCCATCAATTGAAACTGACCATAACAGACACAGATGTTGGAGACAGCAGACAGGAACATAAAGACATGGATTATGTCTGTATTTGAATGATGGTGACAGAGTGGTCACTGCAAGTCACTGTGATCCTGCTCAGCTTTTCCTGACTTGGTTTGGTGGCTTTACATTTAAACCCCAGCAAGACCATATCAGCAGTGAGCAAGGCACAGGGTGCCCTGACCACACCAGGTAAGATGATTGAGGGCCAGCCAAATCGACACCACCTCAAGGCCTGGAGGTGCCCAGAAGCACTGAGTACTCACCTCGGGGTCTCAGCCTGGGAAGTGCTTGGGTAGTCACTGATGAAACTGGGGTTCTCTGTCTTCACTGCTGAGAACACAGCGGGGTGCCTCATGCCTTGGAATTGGGGTGGGAGTCAGAACAGGAAAGAGGTACCAGGGCAAGCTGGATGGAGAGAAAAGGAGACAAAGGTGTATCTGCCTCTGTTCAGATGCCTCAGTCAGATACTCACAAATCCAGGTCACACTTCCACCTCTAAAAGTGACTTGTACTGTTTAAAACTGGGCGAGTCTGCTCTAGTTTGGATTTTAAATCTCTCTCAAGTGTCCATGTGCTAAAGGCTTGGTCATCAGACTGTGGTGCTACTGGGAGGTGGTAGAAGCTTCTGGAGGCAGGGTAGGAGTTGGCTCACTGGGAGTCTGTCCTGGAAGGGGATATTGGGATCCCAGCCTTTTCTAGTCTCTCTTTTTAATTTCTGGCTGCCTTGAAATGAATAGGCCTCCTCCACTAATGTACTGTGCCACCATTGACCCAAAGCAATAAGGCCAAGTGACCATGGACTGAAACCTTGGAAACCATGAGCCCCCAAAAACCTTTCCTCCTTGTAAGTTGATTTATCTCAGGTATTTGTTACAGCAATGAAAAGCTGACTAACACAAATGGATAAGCAAAATGCAGACTATCCATACAATGGTATGGTATTCAGACTTAAGGAAGGAGGCTGGGACATATGCGACAACATGGATGAGTCTTGAGGTCATTATTCTGACTGAAATAAGCCAGACACAAAGGACAAATTATTATTATTATTATTAGTAGTAGTAGTAGTAGTAGTAGTAGTATAATTATTAGTAGTATTATTCTACTAATCTGAGCTTATGTAGGAAGGGAGGAGCTCTGTGGGTACCCATTGGCTCCTATAGCCACAGGGGACACCGCTGGAGCTGGCCCCACACTGGGCTGTGTGCTGTGCTCTCTGATTTTTGGGGGAGTTCGTGTTCCTGGGACCAAGGACACCTCATTGGGTGACAAACCCAGAGGGAGAAGAAAGGGGAGGAATAGAGAGCCCTGCCCATTCAGGAGGGTCAGTCAAGCTCACCAGAGGCTCCAGGCAACCCCAGCCTCATAGATGGTCCTGCCTGGACTTTACCCTGCTCTGACCCCAGGCCCATCTTCTGGGCTCTCCCTGGGGACATGACAGCCCCTCATCCCCCCACGCTGAATGTGGCATGGCCAACCTCAATACTTTGTTTCATCTTGAAGGCAACATAACCATTATTGGCCCCAAGACTTTGAATCTAGCATGACCCTGTTTCTACCCTTTACTGTCCAGATAACCAGGTTCAAACTCAGTGTCCCCCAGCCTTAGTCTCCCAAAGCATCTCCAGGCCTCTGTCACAAGCAGAGGCTGAAAGTTCTATTCAACTGCAGCAGAACTTGGTAAAATCATGCCACTGGCCCAGAAATAATGATTTTTGTCTGAGGTTGGAAGAGCAGAAACTCAGGGATAGTAAGCCCAGGAATGCATGGAGGTCGACACATGGAAATGTAGCAAACAGTTCTAGCATGCCACAGGGTTGCTGTGTCCAGGAAACCAAAAGCAGTACCATTTTTACTTATGTGTTTACTTAGTACTTTTTGTTTGCTTTCTATTTTTATTTTCTCTTTAAATTTTCTACTTTATTTATTTATACTTTATATTCATTTCCTATGTTTAGTCTCTATTTTGATTTCTTTCATTGAGAAGGAACATAAATACCAACATTATAGCCATGAATGAAATATTACTGTTCATTGTCATACATTAAAAAAAATGAGAAAAATTAAGATTCAACCTTTAAAATAGAATAAGATTCCTTCCCTGTGCGAGTAGCTAGATATATCGTAAAGCAAGTAGAATCTCAGGATGGACACACAGCTGTTCCCTGAAAAATTATTTGAGGGAATATATTTGGCTATATATTTGAAAATTTTCATAATAAATATTGGAACAAACAATTTACCCTGCAGCCCCCAAGATCTTTAGTCCCCCTCGTGAGGGAGGAGAGATTCTGAATTCCATTCTTTCCATACATTCAGGCAGCTTCTCCCAATGAACACCCTGGGCTCCTGACATCATTCTACTTGTGATAATGCTTGATAATTCCCATTTTAAAAAAGTAAATGAATAATCCCAGCAACTCAGGAGGCTGAGGCATGAGGATCTTAAGTTCAAAACCAGCCTCAGCAACTTAGAGAGGCCCTAAGCAACTTATGAGACCCTGTTTCAAAATAATAAAAAGGGCTGGGGATGTAGCTCAGTGGTAAAGCATCCTTGGGTTTAATCCTTGTTATCAAAAAAAAAAAAAAAAAAAGTAAATGAAACAAGACAAAAAAACAAGAACTTCTTGACAGCCTCCAAGCTAAACCAAAATTCTCAACATATGTGTCCCCTTTGACCTCTCCTTCCACCCACCTCCCTGGAACCAGCTTTCTTCCAGAAGCCCCATCCCATGCATCGTACCACGTCAAGGACCAGCACCCCTCACGCCCTGTTTTATCCAGCTCTCTGCTCCCGACAGGCCCTCCCTAGAGAAGACACCCCTCCACCCTACCTGTCCTGCTCTCCCTCAGAGCATCTCTTTCCCCCACCGATTCCCCCTCGTCATCCTCCTCCCTCTCGGGATGTAAGTGACGTAGGAAGAGCCTTATCTCCTTCATGCAGCCCTAGGCCTGGTACACAGGACTCCATATTTGGGGGGAATAAATACATGCATTAATTTGAACTGGCAGAGCAAGGAGTTTTTATATCCCCTCTAAAATGTTCTTTCCCTTAAACAAAAATATGTTTTGACTGAGTCCACATTTCAAAATAACAAAATCCAAGTTGAGATCACGAAAGGCCCCATTCCACCTCAGAGCAGTCCTGGCTAGGCCAGCCATCACATCATCTTGTCTAAACACACAGTGACCAGTCAGGCCACAGCTGAGACAGGGAGGTCCAGATGGCCAATTCCCCTCACCAAGTCCCAGGTTTGACTTGTAAGAACTAAATGTGGAACCCCCCCACCCTCCACAACAGAACCTGCATAGATTTAAAAGGTCCATCGTCAGACAGAATATGGGGTCTAATTGACCAGACCCCCCAACTTCACAGGATGTAAGTGATCAGGTTATCCCACTTCACAGATCTGAGAGTCCAGTTGTCCCTCACTGGACAGGCAGGGGGAAGAGCATTGCAGACAGCAGGGAAGGCAGGAAGATTAAGCAAGCCAGGGGATGTGAGGCTGTAGTTGAGGTGTTGGAGGGGGGCAAAGAGGGAGGGGGAGGGGCAGAGACTGGTGGGGCCAGGACGGCTCTTGACAGCCAGCCACGAGGCAACCCAGTTGGTAAGATGAGCTCCATTCTGATTTTTTTTTAAAGATTGTAGGATGCAAGGAGGATCCATTTGTGGGGGCCTGGAAGCCACACAGACAGTCGGTTGATGGTTATAGAGGATACTGTCCTAGCACCGGAGTCAGGGAACCCAGGGAAGAGCAGGGCACAGTTAGGCCAAGCATCCCCCTCTGCAGAGCTGGAGGTGCCGTGTGCACAGGGTCATGTCACCAGACTGCAGTAGGCTTGTCCCCAGACTGTCATGTGGCTGTCCCTATTTCACACAGGGTCTTTCCCCACCCTATTCTTCGCTACCAGCAAAGACACATCCATGGCTGGCAGTGGCCCATTTCCTCCACTGGACACTGACTCCCTCGTCACCTACCAGGACCCATAAATATCTGCAGAACGGAGGATCCAGTGACCCGAGGAAGTTGATGGCAGTGAATGAAGGGCCCCTCATCTCTTGTCTCCTTCCTGGGCTGGCATAGCCCCTGCTCACTGCCAGTCACCCTGTGCAGGGACAGGCAGGGACAGGCTGTCTCTGCAGTGGCCGGCTCTGTGCTTTCTTTTGTCCTTGTTCGTTGTTTTTGACACACACTCATCCCTGAGCCTCCTTATAGCTGCAGAACACTCCACAAACCCTGTCTCCTCTGGGTTTCACATCTGCCCAGTGCTGTCCTGGACTCCTTCGGCCGCTCCTTTTACTATGGAGCCTCAGTTTCCCCTTCTGTAAATGGGGATCGTGATAGGCCCACCTGGGGCAGGTGGGGAGGGTGCTATGGGAGCTCCAAGCACAGGTTCAGAGATTCCTGAGGTTATTATTCTAGCCCATGAGCCACTCTTTAGAGCACAGGGCAGAAAAGCCAGACACAACCTTACACCCTCCCACTGCGAGGAGGCTTCTCAGAACAAGGCTACTTCGGCTCTAACCTCAAAGAACAACATGCTCCAGGCCTCTGTGTGCAAAGGTCACAGTCCAGTGTGGATCTGAGAGGCCCTTCACCTTGAGAGCTGCTGGTCTCTGTGCAGAGGCGACAGTCCCCTTGAAGACCGGAACCTGGGCCTCAGCCCTAGTAACAGCCCATCTGGGACAAACCACTTCCTCCCCTCCACACTGCGGCCAGCCCCACCCAGCCCCCAGGCTGCTGAATGTGTTGTCCTCTCTGAAAATTTGTGTGGGGACCCAGACAGTCAACTCAGAGACTAGGGGGCCTGGGGGCAAGCTGTCAGAGTGCTCGGTCTCCATTTCCTCTTTTGTTAAAAAGGCTTCCCACAGCCCCTCTGGGTGCTGGGAAGGGCCAATCTGAATAGCCTCAGAGCTGATCCCATCTTGAACCTCAATGAACCAGTGGAATTCAGATTCCATTTAAGAGACAAGGAAATCGAAGCAGAGTGGGATTTGCCCCAAGTCACAGTGCGATAGGGAGTTTCTTATCCTTGACATTGCCCTGGGCCTGGCTCCCAGACGCTCATTCCCCCACAGCACTTACCAACCTCAAGAAAAATGGAAATGATATGGTCGTCTCCAATAATAAGGACCCCGCTCTGCAAGCTCCATAGATCCCAGAGGCCAGTGATCCCGATCCCGGAAGTTGCCCTGGACCCTTCCTTAGGCATTGTTGTCCTCTCTGCACAATGTGAACAACTACTGTGCCACCAAGTTGGGCTGCTGCTGCTGCTGCTGCTGCTATGGCCCTGCCCTTGAGCTGCCTGCCTCTAAGGTGGCATCCCCACTGCCCCAGGCTGCCCAGGCCCAGCTAGGGGTCCCAAGGAGGCCTTGGTGGACTCAGTCCTCCTTCCTGGTAGAGCCTCCTAGAAGAGCCATGTCTGTTAATGTCTAAACTATGAACTTCAGAGGAAGCTTCTGGAGCCACATTGAATAGGAAGGCCTGCTTCTGGGGCTGCCTTCCCGGGCTTTGCCCCCAGGCCTGGGGTGACACAAGAGGCACCTAGGCTGTGGTCCCACTGCCTGAGGCACCACTCGGCACCACGGAGTAGCTTCCTGCCTTGAAAACATCCGCCTCCCTGGAATGGCTCTTGCTTTGCTCCAAATGCCTCCACCACCCCAAAGTCTCCCTCACAAAACCAGACAGTCTTAGGGCTCAGCGAAGATCCCCCGAGCCAATCCCCACTCACCACTCGCTATTCTCCCAGGCAAGCGTCTCTTCCTCTCGGGCTGAACTTCATGCAGTAGCAAAGCACGACTTCCTCTTTCTAATTTTCACAACACAGGGTCACAAAATGATGGCGTATTTGCATTTCCGTATCATTACGCAGCATGAGAAGAGCTGGGCTTGGTGGTTCTGGAGAGCCCTCTTTGCTGGGTGGTGGGGGCGCAACCCTCAGCCACAGCTGCACCCACCCACTGGTTAAAATGTAACAGGCTGCTGTGAGGGGCCCTAAGTGTTCTGGGTAAGGACCACCACCACTCTCCTGCCTCTGCCTTTGTAGCCACAGACGTCTCTAGGGAGGAGGAGCCCAGCAGGGTTGGCCCAGAAGCCCTGGCAGAGCCTTCCAGAGCTTTATGGGTGGAAAAAATGAAATGGCCACAGAAGATTGGAAAATAGGGAAGCCCTGCTTCAGACAGCTTATTTCAAGGTGCTACCAGGGGACCCAGACAGAGCCCCTAACTAGCCCCAAGAGGCTCCCTTGTTGTCTTAGGGAGAAAGTTAATAGAAAATAAAACAGGGGTGCTGAAAGACTTAGACTGCAAAGTCTGACTCGGGTATACTAATGCCCTATTCATGCAGCTCTAAATTCTTTTTTTTTTAAGCAATTTCCCTGGGTCTTAGTCTCCTTATTGTCAGATGGGGGTGATCACATAGGCCCTTGCAGGGGTATTGGGAGGGGCGTCACATGAACAACCATCCTCAGTGCACCTGTGGCAGCGCCTTGTACCAGGGAAATGTCATGTGGGGGTGTGACAAATAAAACCAAGCTACAACCACAGAAGGCATAAAGGGACCTGTGAAAGGGGTGATGTCTGCAATCCATAGTGACTTCCTGGAACATTTCAACAGAGTGTGAAATAGAGGGGTGCTTCGTGAGTTCCCCAATGATGTCCACTGTGGCTGGAAATGGGGTCTCATACCCACAACTCAACTCCTCCAAATGTTCACCAGTATTTTTGTAGGGATAAGGATTCTGGGAGATGCCACCCATTTCACTCTCTCAGGTCATCTTCCTCTTAACCCCAAAGAATTGGAAGAATGCTCTAGAGATGCATGATGGAGCATGCATTCATTCCCCTCCACAAATCTGCAGTGATGGTCTTGTGTGTCCGCCCTGGAGATGGAGGTGATGCAGAGCTTGTCCCCAGGTTCTGTCTGACTCTTCTGGGCCCCCATCTGAGGATACAGAGCTGCTGTGACCAGCAGCAATAGGCACAGGTGGCTGGAGAATCTCAAAGGCTCAAGCCCTGGCTCACAGGTGGTATGGCCTTTTGTACATCAGAGCCTCATTTCTTTCTTCATAATATGGGCAAAACACAGGACATATGTGTTGGAACTGTTGTGAGGAATGACAACCTGGCCCATGGCATTCTTTGACAGGTGCTCAAGGAATCTCAGCAGTTGTCATCTGAGTCACCATTGCTGAACTTCCCAGTGTCCAGGCCCTGAAGTCTTAGCTTCCATGCCTCAAGGGGACAACCCCCACACACCAGGATGCAGTCCTGGACCATCCAGACACTTCCAACCAAGCCAGGAAGGATAGAGTCTGCCACCACTGCTCAGTACAGCTGCCCTCTGCTGAGATATCCCAAGCCAGGAGGCTGGTGGTGGGATCTTATCAGGACCAGAGACCAAGGTCAGGGCTCACCAAGAGTACAGAAGTGACTTAAGGAAGTCAGGATGAACACTGTAACAGAGTGGCAGGCCATGTGTGAAAACCCACAAGGTGAAGGACAAAAAAGGGAATATGGGGTGTTGGGGAATCCATGGCTTAAAAGCAGAACTGAGGCCAAGTGTCCTCTTGTTCCTAAATAGGGGTAAGGGGAGGAAATGGAGCCTCTATCTGGGGGTGGCACCATCTTAAAAAAAATCATTATGGATGGACCAGCAGTTGCCACATCCTGATAGCTACACCCTGTGTAGCCCTTTCCACTGTGAACAGGACTGACTCATGGACACTAGTGTCCAATAGGACCTGCAGAAGTAACAAAGGTGACTTCCAAGACCAGGTAATACATAACACTGCAGCTTCTGCTGGGATGGGGATGGGATGGAGGCCAGCTACCATGCCAGGAGGATCCCAAGCAGCCCCGAGGAGAGGCTCACATGGGAAGAGCTGAGGCCCCAGCCAAGAGCCAGCACCAACTTGCCATGAATGAGTGAATCACTTTGGACATGGACCTTCAACCCCAGTCAGGCCTTCAGATGAGACCACAGCCCCAGCTACCACTGGACGGCAGCCTCATGAGACCCAGAGCCAGAACCAAGCTGCACTCAAATTTCTGGCCCACCAAACTAAAGAGAGTTAATAATCAATCACTACTGTTTTAAACCAATACATTTTGAGTAATTTGTAAGACGGCAGTAGTTAAGCTACACAATATTTTCATCAGGAAGAGCAAAGGGTGGGTGACCTGGGGTTGGAAGAGGGAAGATTCAGCTCATAGAAGAGAAGCACCCACCAAGAAGAACAGCGCACATTCTGATTTCTCTCATCATTCTCATTCATGTCCCAATGGTTCAACTGAGTCCTTAACCCTGAATGGATCCTAGTGACCACGGAAAACTCCCGAGGGCCACAGTGAAGATCTGTTCATGCTGTGCAGTTTCCAGAACCCTGAATAACTCTGTGGAGGTGGAGACTCTTCAGAGGAGTGTCGTGTGCTCCCTCAACCTCAGAGACACACTCATCCTCCCCCAAACAGTTCACTGCATGGGGGAGACAGCTCCAGTGAGGAAGGGGGCTCTCCTAGGCCCTGTTCTTTCCAAGGACCCCCTAAACCCTCCCTACCAGGAAAGCCAGCAATGACTTGGGGACAGACGGGGTCCTGGCCAACACCCATCTGTGAAGGTCAAGCAGCTGTAAAGGTGGGGACCCTGAGGGACCTGGATGGAACTACAGGTCAGGTTAGTGAGAGCAGGAGGGCAGAGACTGCGAGGAGGAGCAGGATCCTCTCTCTTAGGGAATGTTCCCTGGGAGTGTCCACTCGTCAGGAGGCAGTCTGCAGCTGCTGTGAAGGCAAGTCAGATGCCTTCACTCAGTCAGTCAACAACCCTTTGGGAGCAGCTACTAGATACAGAAGAACATACCGCAGGCTCCAAAGACAGTTCCATAGAAGGAGGCTTTTAGAGGCCCTTGAGTCTGCCACTCCTCCTGAGCAAGGTCCTTTTTCTTATTTGTTAGGGTCACGGTCACTCCAGCAACAGGGGCATGGTGCTCAGAGTCTGACTGCTTTTCCAATCACCCTCCTATTTTGGGGAACTGAGAGCCACAGATCCCACATCCTTCCTGGACACCTTCAGACTCCAAGAGTTGGACAAAGTGTCCAAGTTATTCTCATTTTTTCAAAAAGACAAAATAAATATCAGATTAGCAGGGCAGGAGTAGAGTGAGAAGCACAGTGGTTACTTCCAACCCATCTGGATAGGGAGACACCTTGGTCGGCACCCCAAGACAAACCCTACTGAACACTGGACTTATATAGACCAAGGGAAGCAGAATCTTCCAGAGACAGTGTGGACCGCTTATGTGTCTGTCTTTGGGTGGTGAGCCTCTGGGGAGGTTATATTTTCATATAACACATAAATTTCAACAAAGAACATTTATGATATTTGTCATCAAGAGAAATGCCAATCTGTTGAAAAATAAGAGAATGAAAACTCTCATGGCTCATCCAAGACTCCCAGCCCAGAGCTCTTCACACAATGAAAGCCAGCTGTCTCCATGTCTGTTTATGTACGGAAATTTTAATTTCTACTTAGCTGTCCTAAATCTCTCTAAGGAAAAATGCGGTCAAGAAACCAAAAAAGAAAGGATGCTGAGTGTAATTTTGCTTTCCAAAAAGAGATTTTTTTTGCAAAAAGTTTTCGGGATTGCATTAAACTGAAATTTCATTTGACTCAAAGAGAGACAATATTTCCTGAAACTTTACATCACCTTTACCTTCATGGGCCTTCCCTGATCAGGCAGTTGAGGGGAGGACAAGCCCAGATCTTGGACCCCTGAGACCTGTGTGCAAATTCAGTCAAGCTCAGTGGCGTTGGATGGATCCTTTTGCCCCAACACAGAGCAAGTATCTTTCAACACCAGGCCACTAAGGGGCTCTCTGGAGAAACGCTTGTAAAATGCAGAGAGAAAGGAGTTAACTCATTTCTCCTCTTTTTCTAAAAAAAGAAGATGGAGGAAAAGAAGAAGGAGAAAAAGAGGAAGAGGAGGAGTGGGAGAGGGAAGAGCATTAAAAAATATTTGACAGTTTAATCCTCTTAGCCAAAGGATCCTTTAGCATTGAACCCAAGAGGTAATCCATCTTCAACGCTGAGACAAAGTGACATTTTGAGAACTCCCCAGACAGGGGGCGTAATTACAGGGCGGCTCTGGCAGTCAGCTGTAATATTTGAGCTTGAAGTGGAAGCAATTTTTTCTTATCTTTAACAAAAAGCTCTGATGTGTCTACCCTTATGCAAAAGCTGTGCCTGGTACTTTTTTTTTTTAACGCCGTAAGAAAAAATGATCCATGCGTAAATAGAGAGTGATACATAAAAACTAAGGCATTAAAGGGGTGGCCACACCCCCACTCAATCAGGCCCTGAATAGAGGATAATTCCGGCATTGTTATGGGACAGCTGCATGGCATCAACCAGGAATGTTCCAGAGCCCAGAGAGATGCAGGGGCCCTTCCTGTGCTCTCGTTGTCCAATCGAGGCATCAAATTCTGCCAAGTGGTATTTTCACTATCACTTGGATCCTCCCTCTACTATTCAATCCTCAGTCTCAGCTCCTGACTAACCAAAGCCTATTCAGAATTCAAT